AGTTATTTTTCCACAAGGGGATTATGGGTGGATAATTGCAGATACACATGTCAACGACCATATTGGAAATGTTTCTCCTAAGAATATGGGTATAGTTATTTTTGTATATAGGAATTATGGGTGGAATATCATGGTTAAACATGTCTAGGAATCCATTTGACCCCTTTCTGATAAGAATATGAGAATAGTTTATTTTTCTGCATGGGGATTATGGGTGTATTATGGTGGATACACATGGCAATAATCATATTTGACCTATTTCTGAAAAGATTATGAGCATAATTATTTTTTTACATGGGGATTATAGGTGGAATATCATAGTTAAACATGCAAAGGAACACATTTGACCCCTTTCTGATAAGAATATGAGAATAGTTATTTTTCTACATGGGGATTATTGGTGGAATATTTATTATTATTATTATCATAGATGATTTATATAGTGCCAACAGCTTGGTCAGTGCTTTACAATATAACGGGAGACAATACAGCAACAATACAGTTCAATACAAGAGGGTTAGGAGGGCCCTGCTCCTTGGAGCTTACAATCTAAGAGGGAGGGGCTAGTGGTACAAAAGGTAATAACTGTGGGGGATGGACTGGTAGGAGGAGTAGAAGATTCCGTTATTAGCTGAGGGCAGGATAGGCTTCCCTGAAGAGATAGGTTTTCAGAGATCGCCTAAAAGTGAGCAGAGTAGGCGATAGTCTGATAAAATAGGGTAGAGAGTTCCAGAGGATGGGGGAAGCTCTGGACAAGTCCTGGAGATGAGCATGGGAGGAGGAGACAAGTGAGCTAGAGAGAAGGAGGTCATGAGAGGAGTGGAGAGTATGGTTTGGGTGACACGGGTGGTGATGTAGTTTGGGGCAGAATTACAAATGGCTTTATATGTTATTGTTACTGTTTTAAATTTTATCCGTTGGGCAATGGGAAGCTAGTGGAGGAATTGGCAGAGAGGGGTGGCAGAAATGGAATGGTTAGTAAGGTGGATGAGTCTGGTAGCAGCATTCATGATAGACTGAAGAGGGGATAGCCTGCGATGAGGTAGGCCTATGAGGAGGGAGTTACAATAGTCAAGGCAAGAGATAACCAGGGAGTGAATAAGTTGCTTAGTAGTTTCAGAGGTTAAGAACGGGTGAATCTTGGAGATGTTGTAGAGGTGAAGTCTACAAGATTTGGACAGCGATTGGATTTGGGGGCTGAAAGGACAGATGGGAGTCTAGGATTACCCCTAGTACCCTAGCATGAGGGGAGGGACTGATGGTTGTGTTATTGATCTTGATGGAGAAGTCAAGGGAGGGGGCATGGACTGGAGGGAATAGTTATAGCTCAGTTTTGGAAAGATTAAGTTTGAGGAAGCGGAGTGACACCCATGCTGATATGTCACTTAGTAGGTTAGTAATGCGAGAGGAGACTGAAGGGGTGAGGTGAGGAGTAGAAAGATAGATATGTGTGTCATCAACATAGAGATGGTACTTAAAGCCATGGGAATTTATCAAGTGACCAAGGAAGGAGGTGTACTTGGAGAAGAGAAGGGGTCCAAGGACAGAATCTTGAGCAGAGGCAGACTGACCATTTGGAAACTCGGGCACTGCCCAAGGGCCCGGGGTCAGTAGGGAGCCCCATGAGATGCCCCTGGTACCTTTTTCATAGGCTTTTTTGAGTTTGGGCAAGGACACAGGGGCCCCATGATCTCTATTGCCCGGGGCCCCATGAGTTGTCAGTCCGCCCCTGACCTTGAGGGACCCCTACAGAAAGAGGGAGTGGAGAAGAGGAGACAGAGTTATAGGTAATGCTGAAGGAGCTCTGTGATAGGTAGCAGGAGAATCAGGAGAGAGCAGAGTCTCTGAGGCCAAAAGAGTGGAGTTTTTTGAGGAGGAGGGGATGGTCAACAATATCAAAAGCCGTAGAGAGGTCAAGTAGTAAGAGTACGGAGTAGTGGCCATTGGTTTTAGCAATTAGAAGATCATTAGTGTGAGTGTAGTGAGCAAAAGCCAAACTGTTAAGGGTCAAGAAGGTTGTTGCCAGTGAGGTAGGAGCTCAGGCAATTGTAGACTAAGCGTTCTAAGAGTTTTGAGGTAAATGGGTGCAGTGAGATGGGTCTTAAATTGTTCAGGTTGGTAGGGTCCAGGGAGCGCTTTTTAAGTATGGGAGTGATGTGTGCATGCTTTAGAGGGGAGGGGAAGGCACCATTAGAGAGGGAGAGATTGAACATGTGAGCAAGGGAGCATAGGATAGAAGAAGAGGATGACCGTGGAAGTTGTGAGGGGACAGGATCCAGTGGGCAGGTAGTTAGGCTTCTGGGAGAACCTTAGCGACCTCTTTGGTAGTAGCAAGGTCACAAGAGGAAAGTGTTGAGGGAGTTTTAGTATAAACTAAGTGGGATGGATGTCTGTGCAGTGGAAATGCCCCTACGAATTGCATCAGTCTTGTTTTTGATATTATTTGCAATCTCGTAAGCAGATACACCCATAATCCCCATGCAGAAAAAAAATATTCTCATATTTTTATCAGAAAGGGGTCAAATGTGTTCCTAGACATTTAAAAAAAAAACAATATTCCACCCATATTCCCCATGTAGAAAAAAAACTATTCTCATATTGTTATCAGAAAGGGGTCAAATGTGTTCCTATATTTTTAACCATTATATTCCACCCATAATTCCCATATAGAAAAATAACTATACCCATATTCTTAGGAGAAACAGGTCATATATGGTCCTTGGCATGTGTACCTGCAATCATCCACCAATCCCCATGTAGAAACATTTCTATTCTCATATTTTTATTAGAAACATGTCAAATGTGTTTCTAGGCATGTTTATCCAGGATATTCCACCTATAATCCCCATATAGAAAAATAACTATACCCATATTCTTAGGAGAAACAGGTCAAATATGGTCCTTGGTATGTGTACCTGCAATCATCCACCAATAATCCCCATGTAGAAACATTTCTATTCTCATATTTTTATCGGAAACATGTCAAATGTGTTTCTACTGTAGGCATGTTTAACCATAATATTCCACCCATAATCTCCATGTAAAAAAATACCTATACCCAGGGGCAGACTGACAACTCATGGGGCCCCCGGGCAATAGGGGATCATGGGGCCCCTGCGTCCTTGCCCAAACTCAAAAAAGCCTATGAAAAAGGTACCAGGGGCATCTCATGGGGCCCCCTACTGACCCCGGGCCCTCGGGCAGTACCCGAGTTTCCAAATGGTCAGTCCACCCCTGCCTATACCCATAATAATTTCAGAAGTAAATATGGTCCTTGGCATATATATCCACAAAAATTTACCCATAATCCCCATGTAGAAAAATAATTATATGCCTTTGCTTATCGAAATAGGTTACGAGTTACCATGACATTCCCCCCATAATCCCCAGATATAAAAGTGATTTTACCCATATTTGTTATTAAAAAATGTAATTTGTATGGGATGTGCAACCATTATATTCCAGCCATAATCCACATGCAGATCAATAATAACCACATTGTTATCAGAAATGCATTATTTTTTCCTTGGTGTTTATCAGTTTTAATCTTCATTTTTTAAAAGTTCCTAATAAAACAGTTAAAAATGTAATGCTTTACACATACATGTACTGTATGAGATCAGGAAATCTACTCCTATTAATATATTGAGTAATGTTTGCATTATTTCTGTATAATTTAGTATGATACCATTTTACAACTGCACATATATCAGTAACTGAAGAGTTAAACATTATCCACTTCTGTTGCAACAATGTATCAAGCACTTCAGAAAAGCAAAACATATTTTGAGTAACAACAAAATCATTACCATATGAGTGTAAAAATACACTGACATGAGAGTTTTTAGCATTGCAACCAATAATCCAAACATCCCATCATCCCAATATGCAGTTTAGTACGTCCCGATTTACCCCTCTGGTTTGACTGGTGCCCAGGGGCGGACTGAAAACTCATGGGGCCCCCAGGCAATTGGGGATCATGGGGCCCCTGTGTCCTTGCCCACACTCAAAACAGACCCAAAAAAGCCTATAAAAGGTACCAGGGGCATTTTATGGGGCCCCCTACTGACCCTGGGCCCTCGGGCAGTACCCGAGTGCTGGAATGGTCAGTCTGCCCCTACTGGTGCCCATTATCGAGGAGTAAAACAATGAGGGGAAACCCAACATGTTAGAGCTGAAACATACTTTTGAGACGAGATGTGTTACCAAAATGCACAGTAACCAATTGGCCACCGGAAGGTTTTACCCCCTTTTATGCATTAATTTTTTCCTTGGTGTTTATCAGTTTTAATCTTCATTTTTTAAAAGTTCCTAATAAAACAGTTAAAAATGTAATGCTTTACACATATATGTATTGTATGAAATCAGGAAATCTACTCCTATTAATATATTGAGTAATATTTGCAATGCATTATTTCTGTATAATTTACTATGATGCCTTTTTTCAGCCGCACATATATCAGTAAGTGAAGAGTTAAACATTAGCCATTTCTGCTGCAACAATGTATCAAGCACTGCAGAAAACAGAAACATTTTGAGTAACAATAAAATCATTGCCATATATTTGTGTAAAAATATAGTGACACCTAATGGGGATGTTGAGCATTGCAGCCAATAATCCCATCATCCCACTATGCAGTTTAGTACGTCCCCGGGGTAAAACAGTCCAGCAATGATAAAGAGAGCAAAAAAATGGACCTATACCACTTCATAACTAAACAAAACTATCGCCTAGCGTTACACTTTATTCAAGTAGCCCCAAATATACTGCAAAACAGGTAAATTTCAATAAACCAGTAGGAAAAAAAACGAAAGTAGCTACGCCTAGCCTGGAAGTAAATGTGTTGGCGGAAGTGGTTTAGTAATAGCCCGAAAGTTAAAGGGTAGGGCGGAAGTGGTTATTGACTGGCCCGGAAGTGGAAGAGTGGGGCGGAAGTTTCGTCTGCGGCGCGTTGTTTGCTGTCTGTGTGTGAAGTGTAGACCGGGCAAGGGACGGCAGCATGGCGGATGTTACTGCCCGTAGCTTGCAGTATGAGTACAAGGCGGTAAGTAGACTCAGCGCTTACCCATATATCAGTGGGAGCCGGGGGGAGGGATGACTGCTTCTGTAGTGGGCTCCCAGGGGTCACATGGAGGTAGAAGAGTGGAAAGTCTTCCAATTGTGAAACTTTCCATTACTCTTTGTGTCTGGGAGTTCCAGGGCCACTACAGTGGAGTGTCTCCTTGACTGATATCTGGTACCACATGATACATTGTCCTCTCTCAGTTGAAACCATTTATAAGTATTAGTTTTGTAGTCAGATCGGAGTAGGCATTGCCAGCCCCATGGTCTTCCCCAGTGCATGATGGGAAGTGTTTGCTACAATAAGTGTTCTCAGCCTTTCACTTAGGAGAGTAACAATATTGCCATCCGAACCACCAGATGAGCAGTTTATTGGAGATCAGATATGGTTTGATACAGCGGGGTGACAGAAATAAGAGCCGTGGTAACAGATCCTCCCAGGGCTCGGACAATTTCCATCACTTTGGTAGGAGGAGATACTAGGGTTGATTTACTAAAGTTGTAGAGTGTGAAATATGGTGCAGCTCTGCATAGAAACCAATCAGCTTTTGTCAGAGGTTAACCACTTCTTGACCGAGCTATAGCTGAATGACGGATACAGTAAAGCCTTTGGACACAGCTGATCACATGGCACAGTAATGGGCCAATCACAGTGGCCTTTTACCATGTGATCAGCTGTGTCCAATCACGTAAATACACTTGCTGGTTATCGGCAGTACTTTCCTCATGCTGCGAGGAAAGTATAGCCTATAACCGGCAACTGTGAAAGGATTAATCTACACCAGGGGTAGGCAACCTTTGAGAGGTGGAGATCTACCTGAACAACATGAAAGAGATCAAAAGATCACCGGGGTTCAGCACCATTTGAAAAAAAAAATTAACTAGCAAGGCCTAACTAAATAGCAAGGAAAACGTAGACAAATAAATTAAAAACCAATGTCACTGTAAAAATACAAACATAGCCTACCTTAAAAATGCATAGTGTCAGTCAGCAGGGCGGTGGATGGTGTCAGTACAGCAGTAGATGGTTAGCAGGGCAGTGGATGGTGTCAGTCAGCAGGGCAGTGGACGGTTTCAGTAGTTTTTATTTTAACATTTTTATTTTTTGATATTGTTTACAATTTCTTAAGGAGAGGGGAGCACTTGAGGGAGGGGCCAGGCAGCAGAAAAATGGAGGAACAAGGATAGGAGGGGCAGTGGGGGAAGCATTTACTAGAATTGATCCTCCTGCAGCAGCTATACGCTGGTGGGAGGGCGACGAGTAGATACTAGCTTTTAGCTGCTCTAGCAGGATAATAAAGGGGATCGTTGGAAGGCAAGTATTTTAAAAATCTGAATTCCCAGCAAGTGGCTGGGGATTGGGACTTTTCTGCCCCAGCCCTCCCCCCCGCTACCTATTTGCCCTAAAGCGGCTGCCTGAGCAGCCATATGCTCGGCGCTAACAGAAGGCTGCTTAGGTAGCTGCCTTAGGGCACCAAGGTAGGGGGGGCAGAAAAATCCCAATCCCCAGACACTTGCTGGGAATTCAGATTTTTTAAATACCTGTCCATGGGAGGGAAGGGGGGGAGACACTACTGGAGGGAAGGGGATTAGATGTCACTGCTATGGGGAAAAGGGGGGCAGAGGGCACCACTGGGGGGGGGGTGATGTGAAGGGCGGTAGAGGACACTGCTATGGTGGTGGCTCTGTCCTCTTGAAATCACCTCCCCCCACTCCCAGTAGTTTCTTCTGCCCCCCTTTCCCCCAGCCTCCTCCGCTGCTGCTGTTGTTCTCAGTGCATAGCGGATGGCAGCAGGGCTCAGGACAGAGGACGGGAGGAGGAGCTGGCCAAATGAACTTTACATATTAACAAGCTGGTAATTGGTTGTTAGGACCAGCCTAGTGACCAATCACCTGTGGGTTAATATGTTAAGGTAATTTGGCTCCCCCCCCAAAGCACCTTTTTCCCCATGTTGATGGGGACAAGGGCCTCTTCCCCACAACCCTGGCCGGTGTTTGTGGGAATCTGCAGGCAGTGGGCATATCGGAATCTGGAAGCCGGGCCCCAGATCCTGCCCCCCCATGTGAATGAGTATGGGGTACATGGTCCCAATACTCATTCACAAAAAACAATAAGTGTAGTGTGGAAAAAGACAGGACACCGTCTTTGACAAGTCCTTTATTAAAAGAAAAAACTAAAAGAATGTCCCCCGCAGTAGATCTAACCTCAATCACCATGCCCTCTGCCGGCCGGAAAAAAATAATTAAAAAAAAAAAGGCTTCGCTTCCGACTATGCCTTCCAGCCGTCTGTCTGCTCTAGTGGTTTGACAGTTCTTAAATAGGTAAGGGGCAGGGCCACCCAGGGACATCACGCATGTGACCCCACCCCATGTGACATCAATGATCACAGCGATCGCTTAGGTAATTGGAACCGGAAGTTGTCCTCTCTCCTTCCCTACCCGAAGACTTCTGGGACATGTGAAAGTTCCCAGAAAACTATGGGACCGTTCACAGGGTACAGTGCTACCTGCGCATACGCAGTGCGCAGCTGGCTGTGAAGCCCACGCTTATATGTGTGCCCGTGCTTATATACCATGGAACACAGTGAAGACAGTCATCATCAATTTATGGAAAACCTTTGTCACAAAACGAAAAAGAAAACTGTTTGCTGTGACTGCTTATAAAGTGTTAGTTGCAGTTTGGCTTCAATTAGTGTTTCTAAATCTGACAACGCTACTTGTCCAAATGTGCCTCTGTTCTCAGTACCAGAGTGTGGGTACTGTAATACAGGATATGTTACTGGCCAGATCACCAAGGAAAAATACCGGAAAAAAAAAAGCCTAAAAGAAGACAAATTCTGCAGCAACTACATCTAATGTCAAACCTTCCGGCAAGATAGGGTGCGCTGATCAGGGTAGTCACAGAAGTGGATGGTCAAGGTTTTCTAATATGTCTATTTGTTTCACCAACTGGTGGTTGCTTGCACCCACTTCGCAGTCTTCTTTTGGAACTTGCCCTGATCGTTTGTGCTGTTAAATAACTTTTAACTTGGTAAATACTGTCACCTGATAATGGTGACATTTGGCACCATGACAGCAAATGACTCTGAATACAACGTTTACTGAAGTCTTCTCTTTTTTTTTTTTTTTTTCCCTCTACACACCTAGAACTCCAATCTTGTACTTCAAGCGGATCGTTCTTTGATAGACCGAACTCGTCGCGATGAGCCCACTGGAGAGGTGTTATCGTTGGTGGGGAAGTTGGAGGGGACCCGAATGGGTGACAAGGCTCAAAAAACCAAACCACAAATGCAAGAAGAAAGGCGGGCTAAGTGAGTTCTTTAAAGATTGCCTTTTAAAAATAATGTTTGTGTAGACTTACTGAGCTGGTGAACTGCAGACCAGGGGTGTAAAAAATAATGCAAAATTCAAGAACAAGTCAGTAGTGCCAACAGGAAAACAGTTTTGACATAAGGGTAGCTAGAATTCTTTCCTTTAAACCATGATTTGTTTTGCATCTTTTTGCAATTATTGTAATAGGATTTGCAAATAATAAGTCCTCTGTTATTAGTAAACTGTACATACATTATTTTTTGATGTTCTTGTCATACTATATGAGAACTTTGAAAAGGGTAATGACTCAAAGGATAGGTTGTTAGTAATGTGCATGTTTCTGAGTGTGGAAAGCATTTCTCTGTTTTACATACAGATACTGTAGAGCAGAAAAGTCACTGTTCCAATGTTGCCATCCCTTACAGGAGGAGAAAACGAGATGAAGATAGACATGACATAAACAAGATGAAGGGATTCACCCTCTTGTCAGAAGGCATTGATGAAATGGTGGGAATTATATACAAACCCAAAACCAAAGAGACCCGTGAGACATATGAAGTCCTACTCAGCTTCATTCAGGCTGCTTTAGGAGATCAGGTACATTTCTGGCTGTGTTATCTGTCAGATGTTCAGGAAATGGTATTTTATTAATCTGTGTTAATCCTAATTTTTACTGGTTTACAGCTAACCAAACAAATTTCCTTCTTGCAGAAGATTTCTGTGTACCTTCTGCAGAATGCAGTGCCATGATTACATTTCTGGTCTGTTGATTAATTCAGGATCTCTCCTAAAGCGGAGTTCCACTCACTCTGTAAAAAAATAAGTCAGCAGCTACAAAAATTGTAGCTGCTGACTTTTAAAAGACAGCTACTCACCTGTCCCATGATCCTACGTTGCCCCCCGCCGCAGCCCGTTTTACTGGCCATCCTGTATTCAGGTTACGGCTTCACAGCCGGGTCTTCCACTGCACATGCACTTCCTGAATGGCCCGACGTCTTCTGGGACCTGTCACGTGTCCCATAAGACTTTGGGGAAGGACAACTTCTGTTTCGCAGCGGAAGTGGGAGCAGGTACCTGTCAAATTTGGCCAAAAAGGTGCCAATCCTTATTGGGGAGTGGGGGACCAATCTTTAAAGTGGAACTTCCCCATTTGGGTGGAAATCCGCTTTAATGTTTCATAGGAGAATGCTATGAAAACGCAGAAAAAATATTAGTTTAGCTCCTATTCAGTGGGGTATGTTTGACCAATATAGGTTGTAAAAGTGGATTACAAGACTTTTTCCTTAAGACCTTTTTGTTACTTTGCTTGTTAACATTAATGAGTAGATCAAGATTGATTTCCCAAAACATTGCAATGTAAGCACTGCTCACTAAGTCATGCTGAGAATTTTGGATACTAGTGTCTTTCATATTGTTCTCCTTAGCCAGTTTAAGATTGCAGTGATCTGAGGGGGAAAATAGGTATGGAAGGTATTTCTTACTCGCTTTTGTCTTTCCAGCCCCGAGATATCCTATGTGGTGCAGCAGATGAGGTTTTGGCAGTACTAAAGAATGACAAACTGCGAGATAAAGATAGGAGACGAGAAATAGAACAACTCCTGGGACAAACTGATGACACACGTTACCATGTGCTGGTTAACTTGGGCAAAAAGATTACAGATTACGGAGGAGACAAAGAAATTCAGAATATGGGTGTGTATAGTTTTCTTTGCAATAAAACACCATAGATAATGAACCCATACATGAAACTTATTGTTTTCTTGATTTAACTGAAAAAGGCACGTGGGCTGTTTCCTGGCAGCATTACTCTTATTCCGTTTTTCAACTAAAAACTAAATGTGGGCTTCTGAGAGAGATCCATCCATGCTACTTCCTAATTGGACTGAATCTGAGGTTTCAAAAGATAAATTCTTGATGTGTGCACTTTAATTGTAGGTTTATATTAACTTGTTCACCTCTTTGGACATGACCTGTAGGTTCAAAAAAGTGAACAGGTTAAAATATGCTCAGGGCTGTAGTAGCCGCTATAAGCTTGTTTTAACTTTTATCAGGGGGCTCTGAGCTTCCATGTACAAGTAATCAGGTTGGCTGTGAAGCTGTCCAAATACATTTACATAACTGGCATGTGCTACCTTCCTCCCCCACAGTCCCCTGCCAGTGGTTCTTGGGCTCTTTCTAATTTTCTGGGAATGTAGGACCACATCAGCTACTTTTCAAGATGGATCGGGGAACAGTAGTTCCCCACTCTCTTCTGCAGCACTGTGAACTGGAAGCACTCGGGTCTGAGCACTTCAGAATTCCAGCTAGAAAGCAGGGTGTACAGCTGATCAAGCACATCCCCTTGCTCAGTTGGCTGGAGCAGAGGACAGGGGAGAAGTAAGAGGGATTTTCACTGACGCATAATTTAAGTGTTACTAAACCCAGAACAGTAAAATCCGTCTGTATATGCAGTAAAGCATGCTTTTTATACTCACTGTGTAATCTAAGTGGTTAATCCTCCGCATTGTGTAAAAAGGAAGTTTGATCCTGTCTTCTCTGATCCTCCCCTTCTACTGCTCCCAATATATCACCTGATAGAACAGAGCCTTGGGGGAAAGCTGCACATGCTCAGTTTGGTGTGTATTGCTAGATTTTTTTTTTTTTTCTTGGGAGAGTGCATGTGAACAGCACAGGGCCAATCAGCACTTTCCAGACAGAGAGTCATGGGTCCTGCAGCCTCATAGGGAAGAATAAAAAATCTCCTCCTACAAGCTTTAACCAGTGCTCAGCTGGACACTGATAGAAGGTACAAGACTGCTATATTGCTGATGAGAAAAGGTATTTAGAAGTTTATATTTACTAAAATAATTGCATTTCCATATTCTGTGTACTGTGGGAGACCAGATATAGTGGATGCAGGGTCCTGGATTTAGTAACGTTTGAAGTGTTTGGAGCACTCTGTAATAAATAATTGTAAAATTAAGATCACAAATGTGCAGGCTCTTTAAATAAAAGAGAAAAATCTAAGGTGTTTGCGCCTGTCTTACTTGTGTGATCCGCCAGTGATTCCCTCAAAAAATGTATGCAAATACAGAGATTCTCAAGTCATTGCTTGCAAATGGCTAGGCATGCTTCCATCTCAATTGACAAAACTTGGGCTTAGTGTTTGGCTGTTTGGGCACCTAGCAGGACCTTTGGGGGGAAAATGTGCATGCCTCATATCTTGTTTAGGTCTGCTTTGGAACTCCTATGCGTCTGCATTTAATTTTGTCAAGATAAAAGAAACCCTATGCTACTTTACTTTTACTGTATTAAAATTGCCGGAAGGAACAAGTTCTATTCTAATGTTACACACTAGGTACAGTGATTGCCTTGTGCGAAATATGCCAGAATATTACTTGGTACAATTGATTGCTTCTGTGGAGATGATCCAAGTCAGTGAAATATGATTGTGGAGTATGGAGCCTGATCTCACCTGGAGCAGCATGTAAAATATTTGACATTGTTAGTAATTTATCTAAAGTGTACGTTACCCCAATGTTGCATATTCCTCCTATATCTGTGGTACCTTGTACTTGTATCCTGTTCTCTTGATATTCCTTCCTTAGTGTGAAATACCTGGTCATTCTTCCAGCTCCCTATAATAGTTTCCTATTTCAATTGACCACGCAGGGCTGGACTCTCATCCATCTCAGCGTGGTCAGTTTTCTACTTTTCATTCTGCTTGGGAGCACATCCTGACTGTAATCCAGTGTTCAAACTTCTCATGACACGCCCCCTTGCACAGAGGTCATGTGATCACTTCTAAAAACACAAAACAAAAATTAAGTTCTTTATCTCAAATTTGCCATGCATTTCCATTTTATATTTTTTTTTTAACTGCAGGGAGTGTTTTTCTTTATTTCAAGGGCAAGAAAACTCAAACGCCACCTTTGCACAAAAATCAAATGTAGTTTTTTAGCCTGTGCTTCATGTTTAAAATAGCTAGAATGCATTGTGGCTAACTGTTGTGTCAAAGCTCATTTGAAACTACAATTTCCTACTTGAAGAAAAGTTTTTTTCATTGTCTTTTCCTTACAGATGACAATATAGATGAGACATATGGGGTCAATGTGCAGTTTGAGTCTGATGAAGAGGTGAGTGATATTGAAATTGCCAGGTTTTCTACCTTGCTGTTTATGCAGTGAGGGTGCTATATAATTCTCTTTATCTACAGGTTGGAGATGAAGATGTGTATGGAGAGGTGAGAGATGAGGCTTCCGATGATGATATGGATGGAGATGAAGCTGTTGTGCATGGGACACTCTCAGCCAATGTAAGTGGACATAATTTTAGGGATTGATGTACTAAGACTGGAGAGTGCAAAATTGGGTACAGCTGTGCATCATAGCCAATCAGCTTCTAAAGTCAGATTGTTCAATTAAAGTGGTTCTAATGGTTGCCTCCTTCAGCCCCTCCACTATACTCACCTGAGCCCCCTATCGATACAGTGATGTGCATGCGAGCCTCTGCTGTCCTTGATTTCTTTTTCTTCATTGGCTGAGACACAACAGCGGGAGCAGTTGGCTCCCACTGCTGTCAATCACAGCCAGTGAGCAGAGAGCTCTGTGTCTTATGGAGACACACAGCGAGGCTCGGGAGCGAGCACACACCAGTTCCCCCATTGCAAGTGGCTTGCTACTGAGGGCATTGGTCACAGGGAGGAGCCAGGACCACAGGTGGGGGCAGGGGCGGACTGACAACTCATGGGGCCCCCGGGCAATGGGGGATCATGGGGCCCCTGTGTCCTTGCCCAAACTCAAAAAAGCCTATGAAAAAGGTACCAGGGGCATCTCATGGGGCCCCCTACTGACCCCGGGCCCTCCGGCACTGCCCGAGTTTCCAAACGGTCAGTCCGCCCCTGGGCAGGGGACATGAGAAGGAAAGGATTAGGGCTGCTCTGTGCAAAACTGTTTAACAGAGCAAATGAGTATAACGTGTTATTAAGAAAGGGAAAAAAAAAAAAGAAAAACGAACCTTTAGGGCTTGTTCACACTTGACTAATTTCTAACTCTTCCCAAACGCCCTATGCGTGTTTTTGAGGCATTTGATATGTGTTTTCCAAGCGTTAAAACCGCACCACAAAGGCCTATAATGAAATTAATGGTATTAACGTCCCACGAACTCCTCGCAAGCACCCCACAAAAATGCCTACCATGCGTTTGAGGAGCGTCACCATAGACTTGAGAGAGAGGCGTTGAAAGGCTTCAACTCCTCCTGACTGGACACGAGGGGGTTTATTTACTAAAGCTGGAGAGTCCAAAATCAGACTCCCTTCTGCATAGAAACCAATCAGCTTCTAACCTCAGCTTGTTCAATGAAGCTTTGGCAATGAAACCTGGAAGCTGATTGGTTTCTATGCAGAAGGGAGTCTGATTTTGGACTCTCCGGCTTTAATAAATAAACCCCGAGGTGTCAATTTTGCTGCGATGCTAACACTTCAGTGTGAACAGCACTGGGTGCTGCCATGTGTATATTTTTCATAGGCATTTGAGGAGTGTTAAAAACAAAAACGCCTGCCTACAAAGCTAGTGTGAACCTAAGAATCACTTTAAGCTTTGGTTCTAAAACCTGGAAGCTGATTGGTTTCTATGCAAAGCTGCAGCAGATTATGCACTTTCCAGCTTTAGTAAATCGAACCCCACAGTGTTTTAGAATTGGAGCACAATGTTTTTTGATCTAATCCCATATATCCCACAGCTTGTATCATCTGGAGAGCTCATGAGTACTAAGAAAAAGGATCTTCACCCTCGTGATATTGATGCTTTCTGGTTGCAAAGGCAGCTTAGCAGATTTTATGATGATGCCATAGTCTCCCAGAAGAAGGCCGATGAGGTTCTGGAAATCTTAAAGGTATGTAACCTTTGTTTTCTCAATCAGACATAAAAAAACAGACTTCTATTTTAGTAATAGACATAATGCTGCAGAGGAGGAGGGTATGACAATCCAAATCCATATTTGGCAGACAGGACTGTGCCATAAACATGACACATTCATAATACACTAAATGTTCATCCATGAACTGTTTGCTGGTGTCCATGTTATCTATAATAGAGATGATACAATGAGTGACGTCATCATTCAGAACGTATTTGTAAGGGTTGCATCCCTCAACCCAAACTTGTAAGTAGCATATCATTTCAATCAAGCTAAAAATGTTTTATTTCTGTTTATTTTTAAGACTGCAGGAGATGACCGTGAATGTGAAAATCAGTTGGTCTTGCTGCTGGGATTTAACACTTTTGACTTCATTAAAATTTTGAGGCAGCACCGTATGATGAGTGAGTATTTCTTTAAAGAAAGCTGTATTGTTTCTGTTAATTTTAAAACAGGAAGTCTTGTATTTTAACTTCTTTCTTTTTACATTGGATTAAGGGCCATCCAAAAATGTTATGTAATTCTGATACTGAATAATTCTCCAACAAATCAAGCGTTCCCATAGTTTCAGTAAAGGTTCAGTTTCAGTAAAGTACAAACACTTAACACATTCTAGCATTAAAAAAATAATAATCTTTTTTTTTTTACTGGCTTTTACCTAATTCATGCGCATCCTAATGGATTACCTACCGTATTTTTCGCTCCATAAGACGCACCTGACCATAAGATGCACCTAGGTTTTAGAGGCAGAAAACAGGAAAAAAAAAATTCTGAACTAATGGACTGCAGACATAGTATAGGGGATGACTAGAGACTGCGGACACAGTACAGGAGATGACCAGAGACTGCAGACATAGTACAGGGATGACCAGAGACTGTGGACACAGTACAGGGATGACCAGAGACTGCGGACAGCACAGAGATGACCAGAGACTGCGGACAGCACAGGGATGACCAGAGACTGCGGACAGCACAGGGATGACCAGAGACTGCGGACAGCACAGGGATGACCAGAGACTGCGGACAGCACAGGGATGACCAGAGACTGCGGACAGCACAGGGATGACCAGAGACTGCGGACAGCACAGGGATGACCAGAGACTGCGGACAGCACAGGGATGACCAGAGACTGCGGACAGCACAGGGATGACCAGAGACTGCGGACAGCACAGGGATGACCAGAGACTGCGGACAGCACAGGGATGACCAGAGACTGCGGACAGCACAGGGATGACCAGAGACTGCGGACAGCACAGGGATGACCAGAGACTGCGGACAGCACAGGGATGACCAGAGACTGCGGACAGCACAGGGATGACCAGAGAGCGGACAGCACAGGGATGACCAGAGACTGCGGACAGCACAGGGAGACCAGAGACTGCGGACAGCACAGGGATGACCAGAGACCAGCACAGGGATGACCAGAGACTGCGGACAGCACAGGGATGGAGACTGCGGACAGCAGAGGGATGACCAGAGACTGCGGACAGCACAGGGATGACCAGAGACTGCGGACAGCACAGGGATGACCAGAGACTGCGGACAGCACAGGGATGACCAGAGACTGCGGACAGCACAGGGATGACCAGAGACTTTGGATAGTACAGGGGATGACTGCTGACCTTTGGGGAGGGGGGGGAGCGGGTACCTGAATTTGACAGATACCCGCTCCCACTTCCGCGGAGTTGTTCTTTCATCTTACCTGTTGCTCTATCCAGCCGCGCGCTGTCTCCCGGCTTCTGTAATGGCGCTCGGCATGATAGCCGGGTGCCCAGTGCGCATGAGCGAGAAGCACTTGCGCTTTGTGATTGGTCCGGCGGCTTCTGGGATCTGTCATGTGTCCCAGGTGCCGCCTTACCATTCACAAAAAGCACCGCTTCTTGCGCATGCGCACTTGACACCCGGCTGGCATGCCCACACTACAGAAGCCGGGAAGACCGCGCCGCTGGATAGAGGAACGGGTAAGATGAAAGAACAACTCCACGGAAGTGGGAGCGGGTACCTGTCAAATTCAGGTACCCGCTCCCCCTCCCTCCCCAAAGGTCAGCAGTCATCTCTAAGGTCCCGCTGTAGAGCTGAGCAGCCGGCCCGGTATTCTGACACGGCGGCAGTGGAAATACCGGACCGACCGCTCCATATTCGCTCCATAAGACGCACTGACATTTTCCCCCCTTTTTTGGGGGAAAAAAGTGCGTCTTATGGAGCGAAAAATACGGTATATTTATGCAATATGGTTTGCTTCCTTTCCCATTTTACTTGGGTCTTGCAACATTATTTACAGCAGGGCCCAATTGCAAGTATTTGTGAGTATTTTTCTCTGCGTGTGTGTTCATTTGTTTTAAATACAGTGATTGATTTTACACAAGGAGAATGTATGGTAAATGCCATATTCACTGCTTATAAATAGACCATTCGTGTATTAACATTCTAGTACTTCAGGACAGTAATTATTATAAAGGGGCTAAAATAATTTAGAAATATACTAAAATGATTTTGTATCGTCTTTTGGTTTAATTTTATTGTTCTACTACACGTTTTTTCTTTCTGCCGGCATCCAGTGAACCACATAAATGCACGTGGCATTCAAACAAAGAAAAATAAGCTTTGTATGAAAGTTTTTATTAAGCCTTCTCTGTATATACACTGTTCTGTAGACTGTATGGCTAAACTCTTGAGTGAAGCATATTACAGGGCAGAGGAGCAGGTGGAACAGTCTATGCACCAGAGGGTATCAATAAAATTTTATGCAAGACTTTTAGAACGGTCAGTAACTTCTTTTTCTTTGTTTGAATGCTAAGATTGTGGAACAGGTAGGGACCTGCTAGAAGCCTGAACCCACCGCCTGGAGTAGGAAGATTAGAAGTGCCTGCAGTGTAGTCTTTCTGCAGATAAACGCTGTATTGTGGGTTTTTTTTTTTTTTTTTTACTGATTCCTTTTTGTCAGAGCTCTTTCTAATTGACCAAAAAGATGTACATGTACAGTTGTGTTCAAAATAATAGCAGTCAGACATCACTAACCTGATCAATCACTGTTTTTGGTAGAAATTATATTTCTACATGGCAAATAATTTACTAGCAGGTGTAGTAGAGTAATAGAAATCCAACAGACCCAACAGTCATGACATGCATGCTGCTGATTCTGTGTAATTGAATCACTCATTGAAAGGGGCATGTTCAAAATAATAGCAGTGTGGAGTCCTATTAGTGAGGTCATTCATTCTTTGAAAAACAGGTTGCAATTATTGCCCTTATTTAAGGAAGGAGGGCAACAAATGTTGTACATGCTGGTTACAGTGCATTTCTCTCTGAAATTCTGAGGAAAATGGGTCGTTCCAGACATTGTTCAGAAGAACAGCGTACCTTGATTAAAAAGTTGATTGGAGAGGGGAAAACATATAAAGAAGTGCAGAAAATGATAGGCTGCTCAGCTAAAATCGCAAATGCTTTAAAATGGCAACCAAAACCTGAAAGACGTGGAAGAAAGCGAAAAACTAGCATTCGACTGGATAGAAGAATAGCCAAAATGGCAAGGACTCAGCCAACAATCAGCTCCAGGAAGATGAAAGAAGGTCTAAAGTTACCTGTGAGTACTGTTACAATTAGAAGACGCCTATCTGAAGCCAAGCTATCTGCAAGAAGCCCCCCGCAAAGTCCCACTGTTGAAAAAAAGACATGTGCTGAAGAGGTTACAATTTGCCAAAGAGCACATTGACTGGCCTAAAGAGAAATGGTGCAACATTTTGTGGACTGATGAAAGTAAGATTGTTCTTTTTGGGTCTAGTGGCCGGAGACAGTTTGTCAGACGACCCCCAAACACGGAATTCAAGCCACAGTACACTGAAGACAGTGAAGCATGGTTGCACAAGCATCATGATATGGGGATGTTTCTCATACTACGGTGTTGGGCCTATTTATCACATACCAGGGATCATGGATCAGTTTGAATACATCAGAATACTTGAAGAGGTCATGCTGCCTTATGCTGAAGAGGAAATGCCCTTGAAATGGGTGTTCCAACAAGACAACGACCCCAAACACACCAGTAAACGGGCAACATCTTGGTTCCAGACCAACAAGATTGACGTTATGGAGTGGCCAGCCCAATCCCCGGATCTTAATCCAATAGAAAACCTGTGGGGTGACATCAAAAATGCAGTTTCTGAGGCAAAACCAAGAAATAGAGAAGAACTGTGGAATGTAGTCCAATCATCCTGGGCTGGAATATCTGTTCACAGGTGCCAGAAGTTGGTTGACTCCATGCAACACAAATGTACAACAGTTCTCAGAAACAGTGCTTATACAACTAAATATTAATTAAGTGATTCAAAGGAAAGCAAAATCTTCAAACATTTTTCAGTTTATATAGTGAATGTTTGAGTTTATAAAGAAGAATACAAACACTGCTATTTTTTTGGACAGTCTAATATTCACTTTTCTTCAATTTTTTTAGAGGAACAACACAAATTTGATATATTTTTCTTCATGCTTTGATTTGGAATAGAATGTGTAGTGTTCCCAATGCATTTGTGTGTATGGAAATAAAAGCTATTAGAAGGATTTTAATTTTTCAACACACTGCTATTATTTTGAACACAACTGTACATCTGCCTGAGAATGAAGCTAGACTACACACCGCAAGTCACAACTAAACCTGCTTGGTTGAATATCAGTTTGCCTGTGTTTTGTTCTGTCCTTCTTACCAGCGAGGCCTGAGAAATATCAGCCATCTGAAACTGGCAATAATATGTCTGGCCACAATGCTGGTTATGCTTAACCAGAACATATAATAAGATAGTTGATTTACTAAAATAGACTTTTTAAAAAATGACATTAAAGGAGATTCTGTGTTGACTTTTTAAATATTTAATCATGTGTAAGGGAAATTTAAAAACATGATTTTTCCTGTGCACTTGATTGAATTGAACTTATTTCTTAAACTCCGTGAACTGTCAGTCCTTTTGTACTGGTTGAGCAGTAAAAAACAGTGCTGGTGATCACATGTTGTCACGAAAGTCTTAAAGTAGAAATATAGACAAAACATTTTTTTTTTCATTTTTGGATAAAGCAAGGGAGGGTTATAACCCTTTCTCATAACCAAACAGGTAGTTAGAGGAAATATCTGCAAATTAAGGGAACTCATTGGGGTCCCCCAAGTCACCAGAATTAGTGTCCCCATCTGAAGATTTCCCCTCTATTACTTTTCTGGGGACAACCCAAAATTAGGGATTTTTTTTTTTTTGTACTTTCAATGATAATGGCAAACGGGACAAATAGAGAGCATGAATCTCCTTAATGGGGTCACGGACAGCGATTAAAACCTAACAGGTGTTCTAATCTTTCTGCACTTTATCTAAAATGATATAAAAAAAACTTTGCTTTTAGTTATACTTTAATATTCTCTTTTCCTCAGTAGTGTCCCCTTTTATCATTTTTTTTTTATTTTTTAAATTAGCTTGACTGAGTTTGAGCACTCTTAGTTTTGGTTTTTATTTATTTTCCAAGAAAATAAATTACCTAAAGTATCTCATCAGATTCCATCACTATTCTACTGTAGCCTACAAAGATAAAACAAGAATTTGACTGATTGCTAAGGGATATCTTTGCATATGATTTCAGCTCTTTTGTTACATGTCTACATTTGGTAGCTCACTTTTTTAAATTATTTCATATGTTGTTAATTTTTACAGTTTTGCATATGATTTCAGCTCTTTTGTTGCATGTCTACATTTGGTAGCTCACTTTATTAAATTATTTCATATTTTGTTAATTTTTACAGTTTTGTACTGTACACTCTTGGCTAGTGCTCAAAGTGAAGCAGAAAAAGAGAGGATTATAAATAAAATGGAGGCAGACTCAGAACTGTCCAAATATCTGTACCAACTGCAGGAGACTGAAAAGGAGGATCTGATTCGGGTAAGAGTTGGTTAAAATTGGAAGGTTCTAGTATAAACATTTTATTTTAGTGTTTCTGATTTTCTGATTTGTTTACTTGCAGGAGGAACGTACGCGTCGTGAGAGGGTGAGACAGTCGCGTGTTGACACTGATTTGGAAAGTATGGAGTTGGAGCAAGATGTAAGCACACTTCAGCAATTTCCTGTCAATAGGTAATGCCTTATGAACTGGTCTAGGATTTGTCATACTTACCTAGTGTTTGTACTTCTCACAGAACTTCACTCCTCGTCAAGTTTTGGATTTGGAAGATTTGGTCTTTGCTCAAGGTAGTCACTTCATGGCCAATAAGCGCTGTCAACTGCCAGATGGCTCATTCAGGCGTCAAAGGAAAGGTTATGAGGAAGTGCATGTACCGGCCCTCAAACCAAAACCATTTGCTTCTGATGAGGTTAGTGAAAGGTCCATTAATACCATACAGTAACTCTTTTTAGTGTTCATATAAATATATCCGCTTCTATTTTTGTCTTCCCTCAGCAACTAGTGCCTGTTGAGAAACTACCAAAATATGCCCAAGCTGGATTTGATGGTTTTAAGACTTTGAACAGAATACAGAGCAAACTCTTTAAAGCTGCAATGGAAACTGATGAGAATCTGCTTCTATGTGCCCCTACCGTAAGTTACCTACCTGCCATGTAGAAGTGACATTACACTAGGCCTGTACTATGAAAGTGCTTGAAGGAAAAACTTTGATACCCGTAGCAGTCACATTCTCTTTTAATTCAAGCTACCTTTAAACTTGAGTAAAAGAAATCCCATTTTAAAGGCAGTGCAGTTTGTACTTTCCTGCATGAAAGGTTTGCTTTGACAGATTTATTTTGAAGAAAACTGGCTCAATTCTATTGACAATCTTCTAAGCATTTCTCGCAACTTTCTCTTTCACTGATTAGGGAGCTGGAAAAACAAACGTAGCTCTAATGTGTATGCTGCGGGAAATTGGGAAGCACATAAATGTGGATGGCACAATCAATGTGGACAACTTTAAAATTATTTACATTGCACCCATGCGATCCTTGGTACAGGAAATGGTGGGAAGTTTCAGCAAGGTAATTTTTGTGTTTTTTTTTTTTTATAAAGCTTTAAAGTATACCTAAAGTCAAAAATTTTTTTTAGTTTTGAACAGAGTGGAGAGGACCTACCTGTCAGATGTCTATTGTTATCTGTGTCCCTGTTAGGGAGATTCGCCCTCTCTATTTCCCATGTTTACCATTATCATCAAAAGTGATAGAAAATACCAAACCTTTTGGGCTGTCCCCAAAACAGTAATAGAGGGGAGATCTTCCAATGGGAACACTATTTCTGGTGACAGCATTTTGGGGAATTTCCTCTCACTTCCGGTTTGGGCAATGTGAGCGGATGTAGAGGGAAATCCACAGCACAAAAAAGGGGCTTACAACTCTCTCTTACTCTGTCCAAAAAAGAAAAGTTTTTATATTTAATTCTACTTTAACTTATACCCTGATGCATTAGGTTTTAATTTCTATGCCACCAATTTCACTTTGTGTCTCCAGAGGTTGTCTACGTATGGTATCACAGTAGCTGAGCTGACTGGTGATCACCAGCTGTGTAAGGAAGAGATAAATGCCACCCAAATTATTGTCTGCACACCAGAGAAATGGGACATCATCACCCGTAAAGGAGGAGAACGAACTTACACTCAACTTGTTCGCCTAATAATCCTGGTAAGATCTAGAAAAGCAAAGAATTCTCAGTTCCACAACATCAAACAACCCCACTATGTATGTATTCTATATATTAATGATGTATTGTTTACTACAGGATGAGGTCCACCTTTTGCATGATGACCGAGGTCCTGTGCTAGAGTCTCTCGTTGCCCGATCTATTCGTAACATAGAAATGTCACAGGAAGATGTTAGGTTGGTTGGTCTTAGTGCCACTCTGCCGAACTATGAGGATGTGGCCACCTTCCTTCGTGTGGACCCTGCCAAAGGACTTTTCTACTTTGATAACAGGTACTGGTAGTATATGATAGGATAACTCTAAAAACGTTAATGTACATGAATTGTCACAGATTAGATTTCCTTATTTACTTGAAGTAATATCTGATATTTTGTAATACCTGTCAAAGCGTTAGCGTATCGGTTATAGGGGAGTTTTAAATGTTTATTAGCATTTAAAATAAACAATAGAACATTACAAACTATACATATCTAAAGAAATTCTTTCTGTTCAGTTTTCGACCAGTACCTCTGGAGCAGACGTATGTTGGTATCACAGAGAAAAAGGCTATTAAACGTTTCCAGATCATGAATGAAATTGTATATGAGAAGATAATGGAGCATGCTGGGAAAAACCAGGTGTGTATTTTTTCCATTCACATGTTAATATACAGTTCTGTGCGACCCATGCTTTGAACCAAGAATTGGTTGTGTCAGTGTTATGCTACAACCTATCTGAATGTTGTATACCCAACCTGGTTATTTTTTATATATATAAAAAAATAGTATGAGCAGACCATTTATGCTGTCATCTGCTTTCAAAAGTTGTTAGTTTACCACTTTTAGGTTTAAACTAATAATAAAAAGGTGGTGAATTAATGCTGCGTCTTCACAGTTTCCTCTGCTAAACTGCATTCTCAGTTTAATTCTAAGGGATCAGTATTATCCTGAAAAGCCAAACCTTTCATCACAACCAAAGAACACGTTTTGAGTCAAAATTCTTGTTTAATCCTTGTAAAAGTTAGCTGTTCTCTTCCTAGGTGCTGGTGTTTGTCCATTCTAGGAAAGAAACTGGTAAGACATCCAGAGCCATCAGGGACATGTGTCTGGAAAAGGATACGTTGGGTCTTTTCTTGCGGGAGGGATCTGCATCTACTGAGGTGCTTCGTACAGAGGCTGACCAATGCAAAGTAGGTTGTTCACATTTGTCTCTTTTCTCTGTGTTCTTGTAGTTACCTCTACCTTGTTCACATTTTTATTTATTTTTTTATGTAGAACTTGGAGTTGAAAGACCTCCTGCCATATGGTTTTGCCATTCACCATGCAGGAATGAGTCGCGTAGATAGAACTCTGGTGGAGGATCTGTTTGCAGACAAGCATATTCAGGTAACCTCATTTCTTACAATATGTTAATCACAATTATCTACTGTTCATCCCAGCCCAAAAAGGAAGAGGTCGTTCCTATGGTTCATGTATATGATAGATTTCTAGGGATTTTCTCATTGAATGAAGGGGAATGGATTTATCACATATTATTATGACCTGTATGTCCTTGTCCATTTTGGATGTCTTGCACTTTATTGTGGTGTAACTTGTGTTTTTTGTTTTTTTTTTTTTTGTTTTTTGCGCTCAGGTTCTGGTTTCCACCGCTACACTGGCCTGGGGTGTCAATCTCCCAGCTCACACTGTCATAATCAAAGGGACTCAGATATACAGTCCAGAAAAGGGCAGATGGACTGAGTTGGGTGCACTGGATATCCTTCAGGTCAGTATAATTGTTTTTTCTGCCCTTGTTTAACCGGTTCCCGACCTCCCTATAGCAGAAATACTGCTACAGGGCGGCACGGGTGCTCAAAATCACGTGTATATATACGTAATTTTGCATTTCCGGGTAGGGGGCGCATTCGCAGCCGCGGCTGTCAATCACCAGGTCCTGGCTGGTGATTACTCGCCAGCGCCCAGTGATTTCTGAGGATCTCCGACAGGGGGAGGAGACTGTAAACAAAACAGTTCTCCTCCCTGTTGGCTCGTGCACACTGCTTTGGATGGCTGTGCACAGCCATGCAAAGCAGTGTGATTACAGTGAAGCACTAACACACTGCCCCATAGTAAAACACTCCCTGCACACAGTTAACCCTTTGATCGCTCCTTATGTTAACCCCTTCCTGCCCAGTGCCATTAGGACAGTGTCGGTGCTTTTAAAAACGTACAGGCGATCAAATACCACAGAAAGAAAGCTTAATTTGTATGGAAAAAAAAGGACTAAAATTTAATTTGGGTGCAGCATTGCATGACAGCAGTGCAATTGTCAGTTATAGGAACGCAGCGCCGTAAGGCAAAAAATGGCCTGGCCAGGAAGGGTGGGGGGAGGGGGGTAAATGCTCAGGAAGCAAATGTTTAACACCTTCCCGTCCGGCCTATAGCAGATTGACGGCCGGGCGGGACACTCCTTGTGACTTCCTGTCAAAAGGTGCCACTCACATCTTTTTTTCATTTTAATTTCTACATTTCCTAAAAATTGTAACAAAAAATTACAACCTCCAAAAAACTCTTCATGCGTTTTACTGAATACCTTGGATGTCTATTTTCTAAAAATGGGTAATTTGGTTGGTATTTGTACTGTCCTGGTGTTTTCGGGCCTCAAGAAATGAGATGGGACGTCAGAACACCAGGATTGATCGATTTGTCAGATACCATGGTTTGTATAATTTTCCTACAGACTTAATAATATAGACTAATTTGGGGTATTTTCACCAAAGAAATGTAGCAGAATACATTTTGACCTAAATTTATGAAGAAATGTTATTTATTTTCAGAATTATATAACAGAAACTAAGAAAAATGCGTTTTATTTCAAAAGTTTGGGTTTTTTTTTGTTTATTTTGCAAAAAGTAAAAAACTCGGTGATTAAATGCCACCAAAAGAAAGCTCTATTTGTGTGAAATAAATGATAAATTTTTTTTATGGGTATAGTATTGCATGACTGCAAAATTATTCAAAATGCGACAACACTGAAAGCTGAAAATTGGCTTGGGCAGGAAGGGGGTAAAAGTGCTCGGTATTGAAGTGGTTAAAGTGACATTAAAGCTTTGAGTTTTGTTTGTTTTTTTTTTTTATAACAAACATGTTATACTTACCTCGATCCTCCTCTTCTGGGGTTCCCACTGGCTCTCCTGGACCCTCTTTGGTCCCCCCCTGCTCCCTTGGCACAGCATTTCATTGACCGCTATCAATCTGCCCAGGGAGGAGGGAGACAGCGGTAAGAGCTACTGCTCTTGTGCACATCGCTGGATTGGATGGAGCTCATGTAAGAATTGGGGGGGGATTCTGAGGCACGGAAGGTTTTTCACCATAATGCATAGAATGCATTAAGGTGAAAAAACTTAAGACTTTACAACCACTTTAATTTCTTTATGTATTCCTGTAGTTAGGGTTGTATTATCCTTTGAAAGAACCTGTATAAATTTTAGTTGTACTTTCTTATCAGATGCTGGGTAGAGCTGGGCGTCCTCAGTATGACACAAAGGGTGAAGGTATCCTTATCACATCTCATGGAGAGCTGCAGTATTATCTGTCCCTGCTTAACCAGCAGTTACCTATTGAAAGTCAAATGGTGGCTAAACTCCCAGACATGCTGAATGCAGAGGTGGTCCTGGGAAATGTGCAGACTGCTAAGGTAATTTTTGTTTTTCTCCAATCTACATTTTGGAACAAAAGTATATTTGGTCACTTAGTCCTTTATATCCAGTTACTAATAAAATGATAGGAATGCTGGTGCATATATATTTTCAGTGAAGTTATAATTTAGGATGGGGCATGTTATTTTTAAATGTTACCTGAGGAGGTCTGCATTTGCATAGCCATTGGCAGGCCTTAACTTTGGTGATAGGTCATCCACATGTTGGGTATTGCATCAAGGGATGTATGTTGGAAAATTCTCTGTTGCAAGGAAATAGAGGTATTTCTGGGTGGGAAATCTGTGGACATTGTTGATAGGAAAAATAAAAATAAAATTAAAAGCACCTGCTAAAGCAGTGGTCTCCAATTGCGGCCTGGGGGCCGGATGCGGCCCTTTGCTTGCTTTTATCTGGCCCTTGGAGAACCATTCCTCCCAATGATACAAGACCCTATTCTGCCAACTGACATCAATAATGGGGCACCATTTTTCCCATTGATGCCAACAATGGGGCACCATTCTTCCCAATGATACCAACGATGGGGCACTATTCTTCCCAATTATATCAGCGATGGGGCACTATTCCTCCCATTGATACCAATGATGGGGCACTATTCACTATTCCTCCACTGATACCAACGATGGAGCACTATTCTTCCCAATGATACCAACGATGGAGCACTATTCTTCCCAATGATACCAACGATGCAGCACTATTCTTTCCAATGATACCAACGATGGAGCACTATTCGTCCCAATGATATCAACGATGTGGCCCTATTCTTCCCAATGATACCAATGATGGGGCACTATTCTTCCCAATGATATCAGCAATGGGGTGCTATTCCTCCCACTGATACCAATGATGGGGCGCTATTCTTCCCAATGATGGGATGCTATTCTTCCCAATGATACTAACGAAGGGGTGCTATTCTTCCCAATGATGCCAACTATGGGGCCCTATTTTTCCCCTTGATGCCAACAATGGGGCCAGTTTCTTCCCCATGATCCCCACATTTCACTGATCCCTGCATCCAGCAATATCTACACTATATTGCCAAAAGTATTGGGACGCCTGCCTTTACACACAATTTAACTTTATTGGCATCCCAGTCTTAGTCCGTAGGGTTCAATATTGAGTTGGCCCACCCTTTGCAGCTATAACAGCTTCAACCTTTCTGGGCAGGCTGTCCACAAGGTTTAGGAGTGTGTCTATGGGAATGTTTGACAGCTCGAGATGTCGAGCGAGAAGGCCTGGCTTGCAGTCTCTGCTCTAATTCATCCAAAAGGTGTTCTGTCTGGTTGAGGTCAGGACAAGTTTCTCCACCCCATACTCCCTCATCCATGTCTTTATGGACCTTGTATTGTGCACTGGTGCGCAGTCATGTTGGAACAGGAAGGGTGCATCCCCAAATTGTTCCCACAAAGCCGGGGAGCATGAAATTGTCCGAAATGTCTTGGTGTGCTGACACCTTAAGAGTTCCCATCACTGGATATAAGGGGCCAAGCCCAACCCCTGAAAAACAGCCCCACACCATAATCCCCCCTCCACCAAACTTTACACTTGGCACAATGCAGTCAGGCAAGTATCGTTTTCCTGGCAACCACCAAACCCAAACCTGTCCATCAGATTGCCAGACAGAGAAGCGTGATTCGTCACTCTAGAGAACATGTCTCCACTGCTCTAGAGTCCAGTGGCGGCGTGCTTTACACCACTGCATCTGACACTTTTCGTTGCACTTTGTGATGTAAGGCTTGAATGCAGCTGCTTGGCCATGGAAACCCATTCCATGAAACTCTCTACGCACTGTTGTGCTAATTTGAAGGCCACACAAAGTTTGGAGGTCTTTAGCTATTGACTCTGCAGACAGTTGACTACTTCTGCGCAATCATTTTACATGGCCTACCACTTCGTGGCTAAGTGTTGTTCCTGGTTGCTTCCATTTTGTTATAGTAACACTAACAGTTGACTGTGGAATATTTAATAGTAAGGAAATTTTACGGATGCACTTATTTCACAGGTGGCAACATATCACAGTACCACGCTTGAACTCACTGAGCTCCTGAGAGCAACCTATTCTTTCACAAATGTTTGTAGGAGCAGTCTGCATGCCTAGGTGCTTGATTTTATACACCTATGTGTGGCCATGGAGGTGATTGGAACAGCTGAATCTGATGTTTTGTGTATAATATATACACACACACTCTTTCACTTATCTATTCCATTGTTTTTCTCAGCGCTGATATTGCTTGTTATTTATTACAAGTGTGTGTGTTTACTAATAGCTTGGAACATCTGTCCATTGTTTTCCTCATCAGCCTTGACCAGATGGTATTGGGGAAAAAGGCCTATAGACATACAATGTTCTGGTGCTGATTATAATTGGGCAAATCATACTAATGTCTTTTTTAAATTTGTAGGTACATTTAAGGACATAACAGAACTTAGAGAAGCAATAAAGATGTACTTTGATTCCTGAGTAATACGTTGTGTTTAGTGATTCTAATTTAGTTTGCATTGCAGTTATTCTTTTGCATTGGAGAAAAGAAATGCATATCGACTGTTATATGTTCCCTTTCTTTTGTAGGATGCTGTGAACTGGCTGGGTTACACTTACTTGTACATACGTATGCTCCGTTCACCCAATCTGTATGGAATTTCCCATGATGATCTGAAATCTGACCCCTTATTGGAACAGAGGCGGCTAGATTTGATCCACACAGCAGCTCTTATGCTGGATAAGAACAATTTGCTGAAGTATGATAAGAAGATGGGCAATTTCCAGGTATAAATATATAAAAATTAATGTGTGAGCAATTTTATTGTCTCAGCAAACATATTTTCTACTGAACATGAATAAATCAGTAATTGCTTTATTTTCTAGGTGACTGAATTAGGCCGTATTGCCAGTCACTACTACATCACCAATGACTCTATGCAGACATATAACCAGCTACTAAAGCCAACTCTCAGTGAGATCGAGCTGTTCCGTGTCTTTTCATTGTCTTCTGAGTTTAAGAATATCACAGTCAGAGAGGTGAGTAGAGGACAGTCATATTCAAGGGAGTACAACTCATAATGTAACATTTGCAATTAGGGATTGATATTAAGCGCATTTCAAAGGTTTGTATTTGCACTGAACGGTTTTCCACATGCTGTAGTACTTTACTTACCATAACAAACATCTGTTTTGCAGGAAGAGAAGTTGGAGCTGCAGAAGCTGCTGGAAAGGGTACCCATACCTGTAAAGGAGAGCATAGAGGAGCCAAGCGCTAAGGTGTGTCCAACATTCTTTCCTTTACCTAGAAATGAGGAGCTGTACGTGTTCTAGCTAAATCCTATCCCCCTCTTTTTGCAGATCAATGTCTTGCTTCAGGCCTTCATATCACAGCTGAAACTGGAAGGTTTTGCCCTAATGGCAGACATGGTGTATGTCACACAGGTACTATAAGCAGTTCTGCACGTTTTCCCCCTAGTCTTTTGGAAAATATAACTGATACTACAGCACAAAATACACCAGACGGACACAAATGGGGTATATGTGTCACAGGAACAAGAAAACATAGAGCGCAATAACATGACAGCGGTTCAAGTCATACACACTTCAAAAGAAAAATAAAAAAACTATATCCTGAGTTGCTTGTATGAACTTGTACCTGCATGATTTTGGTTTTAGCTTTTAAATAACACTTGTGCAACTAGTAACATCAATGGAGTTTTTCAACATGGTATGAGAAGAAAATGTTACCACATCCGTGCTTATGTGAAAAACACCTCTTCAGCTGCTAGCCTAGACCAGTGTCCATATAAAACACCTATAAATCAAGAAAAAAGGCAGCGCTAAAAAAATATAAAATAAATACCTAAATGCTGTGTGTAATACATATGCTAAGAAATAAAATTTTTTTTTTTTAAGTACGCAATTGCTCATTGTTTTAAAATGTACAGTAATACATATATGTAACATAAAGGTGTCCATCTAATGTTGCGCAAAGTCAGCAAAAAATAAAGTGCAGAGAAATAAAGTGCAAAGGCTTTTTTTTTCTTCAATGTATTCACGTGGATTATATACATTGTAGAAACACAGACTAAGGCTGGTCATACATTATACAATTATCTTCCAATTTTCTGCCCAATTTCCTTTAGATTTACCTTCAACTGTGTAGTGTAAGGGCCTGCCTAATTGGATACAACTGAAAGTGTTGTTTAGGTTTGTCCTATTATATGGTTTTTGGTAAATCTAAACCAAAAATCTCCAGATAATTGTATAATGTATGGCCAGTTTAAGTGGTCAGTTCACTAAGAGACGAATACCGCATGAATTTTTGAGTTAAAGTAACTCATGCAGTATTTATTTCAAAAGTAGTCAATTCACTAAAAATCATGCGTTATTTATCGAATGCATTATATATTTATGTTTTGCGATATTTAGCACTTAAATTTTGTGTTATTTTTGGTGTTTTTGTCACAATTTTTTTTTTTTTTTTTGCAAGCTAACATTGCTCCAGAATGCACACAGCAATACTGTGAAACTATGGAAACATTGTAATGTGCTTTCATTCACAAAATGATCTCCCTCTGATGAAATGTTACAATTTTTTTTTATTCCTGAGCTCAGAGGAGAACATTTTTACACTGATACATTGTATACTTTTCACTTCTGGCCAGTGCAGAGTTCCTTTTAATTGCTATTGTGGACATTTCTAAAATATCCCCAGCAAGCACCTGGTGATAAATGACCAATGTGTGGGTTATTTTTTAATAATAGGCTTTAATGATTTATCCTATGTTTTTTTTTTTTGCCGGTATTTATCTCACTATTTTACCAAATGTGCGGTATTTACCTCACAGTTGATATTTTACTTTGATGAACTGACTCTTTTATTATCTCATGTGATAATTTATGTAAATGAGTCACATCACCATGTTATCGCATGTGGTAACCTTTAGTGAATTGACCCCTTTGTACTTCTGCACTTCCTTCTTTACTTCAGCACTTTATTTTCTGCGGACTTTGCACAACACCTTGAATGGACATCTTTATGTTGCATATACAGTATGTTCTGCACTTTAAAGCATTGAGCAATTGTATGCTTCAAAAAATTCACTTATTTCTTAGCATACGTATTAGACACAGCATTTAGCTATTCATTTTATATTTGTTTAGCACTGCCTTTTTTCTTTTTTGATGATATGAGAAGAAACCTAACCTTTTGCTTTAACTTACTGTGCAACCTACTAAACGAGGCCTATAGCTCAGAGCTCTGCATCACACTAACCTCCGCCCCCCCCCCCCCCCCCCGGCCAACAAATCTTGCATATGCACAGCCTTTTCCCTGTGCGCTGTAATCAGAAAGCCATCTACTTGCATGATTGCAGGGAGACAGCTTCTCTTTTAGAATCTATGGAGAAAAGGCCACACATGCATAGCTCCATGCAGCCACCAGCTTAAAGAAGAACAGGAGCACCTCCCTGCATAGGTTGTGTGGTTTCTGGTCCATGTTTTTGCTGATCTAATGTCAGTAATTGGGTTTATAGGTAGCATGGGGAGGAGAAAGAGGGATGTTAGGATTAGTTATTTAAAATAATTATTACTTCTTAACTCCCCTCTGGTGCTTTTATACTGCAGTTTATCAACCAGAGGTTAAAGCTGCTTCATTTTTGTCTTCAGTCTGCAGGTCGACTCATGCGAGCAATATTTGAAATAGTACTAAACAGAGGATGGGCACAACTCACAGACAAAACTTTAAACCTCTGCAAGATGATCGATAAGAGAATGTAAGAGTCATAGTCTTTGTTTCAGTTGTTTCTTTGTGGCAGCTATGCACAGTCCTAAATTCTGACCTTTCTTAATAGGTGGCAGTCCATGTGTCCTCTTCGCCAGTTCAAGAAACTACCAGAGGAAGTGGTGAAGAAAATTGAAAAGAAAAACTTCCCTTTCGAGCGTTTATATGATCTGAATCATAATGAAATAGGTAAGCATTTGTGGTTCATACTGATTAGTACAAATCTCTGTCTAACTAGTTTCAGACTTTGATCATGTTAGACAAGCACACAAAAGCTGCGTCATTGTACAAAGGATGTGTGTAGCACATCCAGGCTTTCTCCCCTTCACGGTATACAGCAATTGTCAGCTTTTAGTAAATAAAAGCGGAAATTGCTGGGCACTTAGAGAAGTGTCAGCAGCGGTCAAAAAAGCAGGCTTCTTCAGTGTTTATAACAACACTGCTCAGGCAGCAGTATAGAATAGAAAGATACAAAGTAACCTGTTTTGCAGATCAAGGAAATGAAGATAGATCAGCAGATGTCTGTTAAAGCAAAATGACAGTTTGAAAAAGAAGAAAACAATTTATTTTTTGTTTAATATTTTTACACATTTTCTATTTTAAAACGTGCAAAATTGAAAGAGGGAAAAAAACCCCTTTAATTTGTAAATAACTTTGCAATGCTTTGTACTGGAATCAAAATTTTTGCCTAATGTTAAACAGGACAGAGTACAGCATAAAGTGTGCACTTTTTATGTGCAGTAGCACTACACATTTTGAAACACTGCTCAAAAAAAGAAAGTATGTTTTAGTTTTGTTGCATTTTATTGTCTAAGGATTAAAAAACGAAAAAAAATGTTGCAGAACAATATCATGAATCGTAAGCCTTGTTTGTCGTACAGTAGTAGTAGTAAAGTAGTACATTATGCTACCACCTTCAGGTTAATGGAGACTGGCCAAAGAAAGGCAGCAGTCTTTGCCTAGGCTTAACTCCGTCCAGCTTGGTTAAGCCTCAGTTTTGTGCTAAGTGATGGATAAGCCTTTTTGCTTTTATTTGAAGGTCTTCTTTTGTTTTGTTTTTTCTTGTCAGGTTTGGGTCCGATGGCTCTGTGGCTTTGTCTACTGAGTGCATCTGTGTATAGTGAAGCTAGGCCAGCCCCTCCCTGGGTTTGGAGGCTTATTGTGGCAGTTTTTCACTAGTGGGTGTCATATAGTAGTAGCAGCATGTCAAACCCTCCTGTACATCTTGCAGGATAATGTCTTTGTGCACGTGGAGGTTTAGGAATCTCCTGTAGATGAGTCCTCCCAGTAGGAATCTCAAGGTCCAGGGCTGTCTTAGATACAGAAAACCACAGTGGGCTTCCTGGCTGATGTGTACATTAATCTTTAAGTGACTGTGAACAATAATTTTTGTTATTTAACCACTTCCTGTTTGGCCCATGTATATAAACGGCTGGACAGGAGCATTGCAGAAGTGGGTGGCTGTTTTTTAACGTGCTCCCCGCCTGTGCGCGCTCCCTAGGAGCGCGCGGCACCGCAATCCAGTGCCCGCTGTGTCCGGAGAAACACCAATCGCTGTACGGGACCTCTGTGTGAGGTCCCAATCATGCGATCACTGATATCACTTCTGACATCATTGCTTACTACTAGTGAAATCTGTGAATGATCACAGAGGTCACATGGTATAAGGCTATTCACAACAGCCTTGTACCAAGCTGTGACCGATCACAGCTCGCACAGTAATTTCTCAATTGCTGCAGGAATGCAGCCAGAGAGAAGGCAAAATGATTGCTTTTACACCCATAAAGGCTGTAAAAGTAATCAGTGTAAAAAAAAAAAAAAAAAAAAATCTTCATCACCCCCCCACAAGTAGTACAGGATCACTCTGGTGACACTGTACTGCTAGGGTGACAGTATGTTAAAAAAAAAATATATATAAAAAAAAAAAAATTAAATGTCAACAAATTTTTTAAAAAATTATAATTTTTGGTTATAAACTAATTTGGGTTAATTGTTTTTACTAAAAAGATAGTTAAATACATTTAGACAAGATTTATGAAGAAAGATTATTTTTTTTATTTTTATTAAAATTTTATAAGAAACACTTTTTTTTTTTTTTTTTTTCAAAACCTTTTTCATTTATATAGCAAAAAAATAAAAATCCCAGTGGTGAATAAATACCACCAAAATTAAGTTTATATGTCTCAAAAAAATGCGCAATTGTCATTCAAAGTGTGATAGCACAGAAGCTGAAAATTGGCCTGGACAAGAAGGGGGTGAAAGTGTCCAGACTTGAAGTGGTTAAAAAGATGTTCTAATTACCTGCTCTGTGCAGGGTACTCTCTTGCTGAGTCCCTCGCCAGTGCGCTCCACTCTTCCTCCTACCAGTGCTCCCTCAGCCATCCATGCACTGAGGGAGCACCCAATGTTGGGTTGCAGGCAGGACAGCACTGGATCTGTGGAGTAGTCAGGTAAGTGTTTACGGGCGGAAGGAGAAACGGGTAGTGGGGAGTTTTTACCTTAATGCGCAGAATGCATTAATATAAAAAAAAGTATACTTCAGAACCACTTTAAAGTGCTATTAAACTCAAAAACTAACAATTATTGAGTTTCGCCAATTCTTAGATGTGGTGGCTGCATTACAGTAACATTTACATTTTTAAGTTTTTGGTTTTTTTTTCTTTTTTTTTTTTTTCCTTTTCACCTGGTCATTCATCCAGTAAGTCTGTTATTTTTAAACTTCTTCCTGCTTTGCCACTATAGATAAATGGCTGGGTGGGACAAGCATCAATCTGAGGGGGACTTGCCTGTACATCCTTCCACTCCTGGTGCTCATGCACGACCTCTGGGCCACACAGCGGTACCATCTTGTGGTGCCTGTTTCCCTTGGACACAGCTCATCTCCGATTAGAAGATGGGCTCTCTCATTGGCCCTTGTAATTACAGGTGATGGCTGTGTCCAATCAAGTGGTAAATACACATCACATGTCTGTTGATTGGCTCTCCTCTCACAGAGAGCACCAGTGAGAAGGAGAGCCAATCTGTTTGTAACCACTGAGTTTACTGTGCAGTTAAACACAGATCACACACAGTGCAGCCATCTGTCACAGTGTACCAGTGCACAACAACATCTGAGATAGTGCCCCATTGCAACATCAACATCCGTCTGCGTCTCTAGTGGACTGTTAACATCTGTTAGTGTCCCAGTGCAACTCAACATCTGTCGGTGTTCCAGTGCAGAACATCTGAAATTTGTGTCCCAGTACACATTTGCAATAGTGTCCCAGTGCACATAACTTCTGTCGGTATCCCCAGTGCACATCAACATCTGTCAGCATCCCAGTGGACTATCAACATCTGTCGGTGTCCCATCGCACCAGTAATATCTGTAATAGTGTCCTAGTGCACCAGCAACATCTGCAATAGCATCCCAGCTCACCAGCAACATCGGTCACCGTGTCCCAGCGCACGAGCAACATCTTTAATATCCCTACTTAACATATGTTAATTTTTGCATATTTCAATTCCTTATTGTTTTGCTTTCCACAGGTGAGCTGATCCGAATGCCGAAAATGGGAAAGACCATACATAAATATGTTCATTTATTCCCCAAGCTGGATCTATCTGTGCACTTACAGCCCATCACTCGTTCCACTTTAAAAGTAGAGCTGACAATAACCCCTGACTTCCAGTGGGATGACAAGGTAAGCTGTAAAAAATTAGCAAAGGATTAATAAGGCATTGTGTTAAAGGAGACTTTTATCTTGGGCTTGCATATCTCTGCAATGTGTTTAACAACAGACAGCCAATTCATTTTAATATGCTGCCTCACACCACAAAAGGTAAATTTTTTGTTATGCCATGCACCATAACACTTGATAGTGGTGTGCTGCAATGCACATCTGTTGGCAAGGTGTGTTGGAGTCCCATAAAAAGTAATAGGCACCCAAATGCCCCTTGGTGTTTAATTATATGCAAAAATGTTCCCCACATGTCTCAGCGTGCCACTGAGAGCCTGAGCCAGGCACTCCTGCCCCCTCCACAGCTGGCACTCCAGTAAGCAGTGGAGGGGCAGAGAAGAAAGCTGATGACTGACAGTCACAGCTCTCTGCTTACTGAAGACTTAGAACTGAGTGTTGAGCAGTCATGTGATCACTTGGTCTTAAAACTGGCCGGGGGCCAGCTGCATCATTGGATCGATGCTGTAGCCATCTAGGTGAGTACGACTGTTTGGTGTTTTTTTTTATTTTTTCATATCCTGCACTTCTTTTTTATACCTTTGGGATGAATGCGAGTGGAGACTGCAAGCCAGGCCTTCTCATCCGACATCAGTACCTGACCTCACAAATGTGCTTCTGGAAGAATGGTCAAACCTTCCCATAGACACACTCCTAAACCTTGTGGACAGCCTTCCCAGAAGAGTTGAAGCTGTTACAGCTGCAAAGGGTGGGCCAACTCAATATTAAACCCTACAGACTAAGACTGGGATGCCATTAATGTTAATGTGCGTGTAAAGGCAATACTTTTGGCAATATAGTGTATATGGGGATGTCTCTTTGCTGAATATATAGGGATGTCTCTGCTAAATTGGGCCGTTTCTTTGCTGGATTGGAATGTCTCTTTGCTGAATATATGGGTATGTCTCTTTGCTGCTCTTTGGCCAAAATATAATTCCTATTAAATCTTGAAAGCACTGAAGACTTGGAATACACTTTTCAATTTCATATATTGTGTCGTAAGAGTGTTAAAGTAAAATTGGGTGCACTGAAGAACTCGGTGGGATGGCCAGTGGGTGGATTTGTTGGACCAGCCAGTGTGCGGGCCCTGGGGAATGTTGGTGGTCAGGCCTCGGGGTGCAGGCCTAAAGCTTTGTACGGGGCCCCATGATCTCTGATGGCTGTTATTACATAATTTTTTTTAATGCATTTATGGAATTGAGAAATTTGTGACACTCCTTTCTAATTCTATTGAACATTTTTAGGTTCATGGATCTTCTGAAGCTTTCTGGATTCTGGTGGAAGATGTTGACAGTGAAGTGATTCTGCATCATGAATATTTCCTTCTCAAAGCTAAATATGCCCAGGATGAGCATCTTGTTACATTCTTTGTGCCAGTGTTTGAGCCACTTCCTCCACAATATTTTATCCGAGTTGTGTCGGACCGCTGGCTGTGTGAGTGTTCTCTTCAGTACTTTTTTATAGCCTTCTATCCTGAAATCATATGTAGTTCTATAGTGGTCATATGATTGCTCATGGCTTTCTCTCTAGCTGGTTCCTTTATCTTTGTTTTTATTTTGATGGCTTGAAAAATCATGGACCCTGATTACAAAGAATATGGAGGACAAATTACTTTTATAGAATCAATAAATGTGTCATTCACAGAAACTCATCTTATCTTTGAAATAGAAAATCTCTGACAGATTGGGTTCCAAAGTTGCATACAACAATGCATCAGTCCCTTGTCTGGAATCCATTCTACATTTTATTCTTGTTTAATTTTAGCTTTCACTATATACAATATAGTATACCTCTGGAATTATTGTGTTTATAATCAGAATGGTATAAGCTAGTATTTTCTCTCCTAAACCTACAGCTGAGATTATTAATATTCTTTCTTTCTCTCTCTGTTTCCTTGTGTTTAAAGCCTGTGAGACACAACTTCCAGTCTCTTTCCGCCACTTGATCTTGCCTGAGAAATACCCACCACCTACAGAATTGCTGGACCTTCAGCCCCTGCCTGTCTCTGCTTTGAGAAACAGTGCATTTGAGAGCCTTTATCAGGACAAATTCCCATTTTTTAATCCCATACAAACCCAAGGTTAGTGATTTGATACATATATTTGGACGTTACAAGCAACTTAAAGTGGAACTTTAGTCAGAAAATTAAGTTCTGTTAGATCCCCTTTGGGTGATCAATATTGCAGATATAGCAATATACTGTTTAAAATCCAGTAATACCCTGTCTCACCCTGCTCTGCACATGCTCGGTTGCTCTATCTTTTTAGGTTCTGTGCCGAAAATCTACAGGCCAATCAGCAGACAAACTAAAGATTACTGCTGTTCCCGGGCTTTATGCTCTAGTAAAAGGCAGCCACCAGCAAGAAGAAACAGGAACAATGCTGGAGGCAATTTACAGCATACATGAATTTGGTAGCATAATTAATAATGTTTAATGTATGTTTCTTGCTAAAGAACATTATTTTTTATCAAGTTATGGGTAAAGTTCCACTTTAACATCTGCAGTTTGCAGAATCTTTCATAACTTTGTTGCTTTTGTGTGTGTTGAAATTTATTTGTTTAGTAGTAATTTATTTCCAGCATTTAAAAAGAAAAAAAAAAATCTGTAAAGATAAAAGAAGTAATCATACAGTAGGAGACAGTCCCAAACAACTAGTTACAAGAGAAGACAAACTATAAAAAATAATTTTGTTTACATAGTCGAAAAGGAATGGGGAAAAAGTACAAACGTATTTATTCCCACCCCTTCTCCATAATCAATTATTTACAGTCCCATGACTATATAAACTTAAGCAATAGTTAATAATTAAAATATTGTATACTAATTACCAATAGTCTAGCTACACAATCATACACACACGCGGATATATACATGCACATACACATCCAGACAAAACAAAGTGATGCACCAAAAAAAGCAAAACATTTGCCATGGTGGGATTTTTAAGGCACAACATAATTGTTCTATTGAAACATACAATTTATTTATATACACACATTTAAAAAAAAAGGTTTTTGACATCAAATTTAGTGTCTAAAAACACACATGTTGAAACTTGCATCTCAAATACAGTACAAATTACATATTGAGATTCTCAAAAAGCTTGACGCGTTTCTTGGATTTTATCCGCTTCATCAGGAGCTAGAGATGAATATCAATAAATATAAAAAATATATATTAACACATTATTAAATGCCACCCAATGTACATATATGGTTTTTAGTTTCCGTTTACCTGAATATGTTCAAAAGGAGAAAAAAGTAAGGATAGCTGTCGGAGGCTCAGGCAGGGAGGCATTTCTAGATGTAAGGATCCCACAGAGGTGATTAGGACAGAAGACACAACAGAATATTGGTGGATTATACCACGTATTAAATTGAATGAAGAGGCCGTATGTTGTTGGAATTATCTATAATGTATAATGAAATATATATTTTTTATTTATAATTATCCCTTAGAGCATATCCCCAAATATATATGTGTGTGCATACATGCACACACCCACACAATTATCCCTTAAAGCAGTGTTTCTCAACCTTTTTCCAGTCAAGGTACCCTTTAAAATTATGGACAGTCTTGAGGCACCACATTCTAAAATGTGAAAAACTATTCTAATAGTTTTATATAATGCAGCAACATCCATACATGTAGAACAGGTGATTTATTCTTCCAAAACAAATACACTTTTGCACACTGGTACTGACTAGTATTCCACTGTTTCTCTTCTCCCTCAGTTTTTCTCTATCACTGAGCTAATGTGACCGCAACACTGATGGAGAGGGGCAGGGGAGGGTCAAACTAGGATGCTGTGCAGGCAGCTGACATCTTCCATATCAACTGAAGATGTCATTGGTTGATAGGACGCCGGCAGCTAAAAGGTCTTAATGGTGCACAATGAAATCCTGTGGCTTTGTAGAACTAAAAGGCTGGCTTGTGTACAAGGTTTGGGCAATTTTTAGACATTTTGCTAAAGCACCCCTGAGGAAACCTCAAAGGCACCCCGGTTGAGAGAGGCTGCCTTGTAGCATATCACCAGATATACATGTGTGTACATATGCTAGCACACACACATACATGTCCTTTTACCTAAGTACCAATCTATTACGTTTGCCCAATATGCTTATTAACTTCTCTTAAAATATTTCAAAACCTGACTTCAATGCAGAATCGCCGCACCCCCTGTTGATTTAAATGCAGAATCGCGCCCCCTGTTGACTTAAATGCAGAATCGCACCCCCTGTTGACTTAAATGCAGAATCGCACCCCCTGTTGACTTAAATGCAGAATCGCACCCCCTGTTGACTTAAATGCAGAATCGCACCCCCTCTTGACTTAAATGCAGAATCGCACCCCCTCTTGACTTAAATGCAGAATCGCACCCCCTCTTGACTTCCGTGCACAATCGCACCCACTATTCACTTCAAAGCAAAATTTCACCTCCCCCCCCCCCCCCCTTCCCCCCACGTACAATCACTTTAAGTCTGAAACGCACCATATGCATAGTAAGTATATACAACATGACTGATTTTTTTATTTTTGTTTCCTTTTCTGTTTTAGTCTTTAACACCATATATAACAGTGATGACAATGTGTTTGTGGGAGCCCCTACTGGCAGTGGGAAGACTATATGTGCTGAATTTGCCATCCTTCGAATGCTGCTGCAGAACTCAGAGGGGCGCTGTGTTTATATCACTCCTATGGAGGCTTTGGCTGAGCAGGTATTTTCTGTCACAAGATAACAAAACATTCTTCCAGTGTTCATCCCACCAACTGAAAAATGTCAATAACTTTACAGTTTTGTCCTCCCAGTAGTAATCCAGGTTTGAGAGATCCTAAGTTAACCCTTAAGGTTACATCAGTGGCAACCTTGTTGGGCTAAAAAAAAAATCCAGAAGGAAGGTCTCTGCAATGTAAAGAGGTATTATAGTCTCCTCTCTGGTAGACCATGTTTCTTACACTCCTACTTTTCCTCAGTTCTAGACCTGCAGCCACCTTCAGTTTCTTGAAGGCTTAAAACGTTTGGAGTTGTCTGATACCGGTGTCCTCACAGTGCATTGTTTTCTTTCACCTACCTCTGTTAATGCTAATTCCACATAAAGATTGGAGAATGGAGGCAGGGCGGAGAGCTCAGGCATTCAACACTTCTGAAGGTGTTTTATGATGAAAAGACCAATGGATGATGCAGTGCTTTAACCCTTCTGGGAGAACGTGGGAGGGCACAGGTCCAGGTCACCAGATGGGTGTGCATAATAGCTCTCCTATTGCAGTGATCTGCCTTTTTTTTTTTTGTTTTGACTGGGTCGCTTAAATTTATCATGCTGGTGGGTTTCTTTTTTTTTTTTTGCTCAGTCGCATTCCAGCAAATATATACTGTACATACACATCCTGCTGCATTTTCTTTTTCATTTTTTATGTATTTAGGATGAAAAATGTGACCATAACAGCTGGATGAACCTGGGAGATCTGGTCCAGAGATTTGTGTGCTAATATCCTCTGTAAATGAGCTAGTGGGTGATTGCTGTTAATCATAGTGCATTCAACCTTTTTGCTCTAAAGTAACTGTAAATTGTTACTATATATGTACCTAAAATCCAGAGCATTCATTTATACAGATCTTATGCTGATTGTGTAGATGAGGGATCAATCAGTGTCCTTTCCACTACTCTGGTCAGTAAAGCTGCCATTGGTAAGGCGTAGATGGGGTTGACTGCTGAGCTCTGCATCCATTCTAGTAATGTTTGCACGGAAAAATGCTCTAGGTCAGGGGTGGGCAACTGTGGCCCTCCAGCTGTTGGTGAACTACAAGTCCCATCATGCCTCTGCCTTTGGGAGTCATGCTTGTAACTGTCAGTTTTGCAATGCCTCATGGGACTTGTAGTTCTACAACAGCTGGAGGGCCACAGTTGCCCAACCCTGCTCTAGGTAACACCCACATGTGATGCTGACCCTCTGTGATTCAAAGAACTGCAATCAAGTCAATGAAAGGGGCAGGCCAGGGACAGTAAAGGAAAGGGCTAAGTGACTCTGTCCTCTAGCCAGAAAATAAGGTGGGTTCTATGTGGCTCGCTTCAGCTTCTTATGCACACTGTGAGAAATTAAGTGTGCAGTTAAATAAGAGTAAGTCATTTTGGTACAGGACAGGAGCTTGTACAACTGTGCAAACCTGAAGGAAAGGCTGCTGTTCATCTTTAATGTGTTACTAAACCCAGAACAGTCAAATGAGTCTGTATATGCAGTAAAGCATGCTTGTTATACTCACTGTGGAACCTAAGGGGTTAATCCTCTGCAAGGCTGTTTGATCACTTCTTCTCTGCCCCTCCTCTTGTTGAAATGACCACCTGATACAGACTGAATCCGTAGTCACATGCTCTGGTGTGTATTGCTAGAGGTGTTTTTTTTTTTTTTTTTTTTTTCTTGGGAGAGTGCATGTAATCAGCACAGGGCCAATCAGCACTGTCCAGACAGAGAGTCAAGGGTTTCACATCCTCCTAGAGCAGAAAGAAATCTCCACCTACAAGCTTTAACTAGTGTTCTGCTGAAGTCACAAGACTGCTATAACTGTTGATGAGAAAAGATATTTAGCAGTTTATATTTACTAAAATAATTGCATTTCCATGTCCTGTATACTGTGGGAGACCAGGTATAGTGAATGCCGGGTCCTGGGTTTAGTATCACTTTAAATTCTTATTGCTTACCTTTGTTTCCTCTTCTTTCCCCCTCCTCCTTCCCCAAAACCGTGAGCTATTACTTGTCGTGCTGACCTTTTTGTTCTAACTCTTTTTAAAATCCGCCTCCATATAACAGTACTTGAAACTTTTTCCCCAATTTTCTCTTCTAAGTAAAGAAAGTAGTTTTTGTTGTGTTCAGGTGTTTTTGATTTTACAGTTGTCATGCAGCTTTTCTGAGCACAGTTAGTAATTGTCAGCACGTTTGAACATAAAGTTCTTTCTGCTCTCCCACTCCATTCCCCAGCATAGATTTATCTTCAACATATCAGACATGTTAATCAGCCTAATCCTCTGCCTTCCTTTTCATAAACTGTCTGATGTTTTAAGGACACTGAAATTCTTACTTAGTTGCACACAGTAATTACACTATTTTTCCCTGGCTCTGATTTGTGTTTTTAAGTTGTTCTGGGGAGGCTGTACACACTTAATATGTCTTCCACCCACACACACACTCATACTGCTGCATTATCCCATTACTACTTTTGTGCATTCATTAGCTGTAAGTGTCAGCTGTTAGATGTGATTCATTTATGGAAATGTATGCAAATAACACATCTTTCATCTTTCAGCCCATTTTTCTATCTGTAGAAGACTAATGCATTTTTGATCAGGAATGTTTTAAGGGGACCATACACATGTTTATTATCAAATGAAGGTCATTTTAGGCATAATTTTATGATGATCGGTTTATTCATGGACTGCACCAATAGTCAATGCTTATTTAGTGGGTTGATATGGCCAGCTGCCCGATAACCGCATGCATTCATTAGAATGGTTGATAGATATATATATATATATATAATTTTTTTTTTTTTTTTCATTATAGCAGTCCTACAATTCATCAAGGTGCCATAAAACTGGATGGTATAGATTAAGCCATGTGGATTTATTTGCAAATCTGACTGGGTTGCCCAAATTTGGTTCTTTTGTCTAGTTATTATCAGGAGCTGCAATTTAGTGTTTGACACTCAGATTTGTGTGCTGGCCATGGCCTCATAGAGGTGGAACAAAAAGTCAATAGGATATAGGGGGATGCCAGACTGTTGTCAACCCCACTCCCATCTTTAAAGCGGAGCTCCAGTTCCTTTTGGCAATTTTTTTTTTTTAAAAAGCACCCCCGTTATCCTCTTTACTTGTACAATCTAATTAGGATAATGTTACAAGTGTAATCATTCTTTTTTACTTCTAAATCTGTTATTACTCCTAGGATCCCGGCAGGCAGGCAGCAGCCATTTATGATGTGAAGGGCATCTGAAGCCCTCTCCTATTTGTTTCCGGAATTCGGTGCAGTTGGCTACCCAGCATGCACCTACAGATCTTGTGCCTGCGCAGTAATGACACTGCACAGCGCACTGTGTTGATTACAGGTTGCCATAGAAATGGCAGTGTTGGCGAAAGTTCCCGCCCCTTTGTTATGTCAACCTCTCAATCGATTAATTCAACGGTGTCCAAAACACAGCATCTGTACTTCCTCCTTGCAGATCCTATTTCTCAAAAATGGTGCCTAACTCCTCCCAATCGCGTCATTTCTGGTCTTGAAATACCATGAGATTTCACTATTAGGCTTCCCGAGGACTGCTGGGATAGGTGATGCTGATATCCCAGGAGACCTCAGGAATCGTCTAATGATGAAAACGCCTAGGCGGCCGGGACCGGAAGTGCCGCTTATATACAGGAATAAAAGGTATTTAAAAAAAAAGAAGGATATCCATTTATAACTGTACTATGGGTGGGCTTTCTGATATCGGCAACATGTAAAAATGGGTGGAACTCCGCTTTAAACACCACATCAATTAAATCGTATAGGAAACATACATTTTTATTATCACTTCTCTAATTAAAGTTTGTGTTTCTAAATTCCATTGCGATGGTAGATTTGAAAGACATTTGATGTAAGACACACAAATGCATCTTTCTAACGTGAATGTAAATAAAAGAGTAAATGCTGCACTATCCCCAATAATTTAGCGAGCAACAACCACTGTCTGTAATCTTGTGTTCTATGTCAATTAATAAAAAATAAATACAAAACCTATTAACTAATCAAAAACAATAAACCCGCAAAAGTCCATATAATCATGAAAGTAGTAGTTCCATAAAGTGAAAAATTTCACCTGAATGTGCTGTGTATAAAAGAGTAAATTCTGCATCATCCCCAAATAATTTACCTGTGAGTAATAACCAGAGTCTGTAATCCGCTGTTCTATGTCAATTAAAAAAACAAAAAAAATCTATCAACAAGTCATAAACGATAAAACAGCAAAGGTTCATATAATCGTAAATGTAGTCCTATACAGCTTTTGAAATTATTTATTTATTTATTACAGGTACTTATATAGCGCCATCAATTTACGCAGCGCTTTACATATATATATTGTACATTCACATCAGTCCCTAACCCTCAAGGGGTGTACAGTCTAAGGTCCCTAACTCACATTCATACATACTAGGGCCAATTTAGACAAGAGCCAATTAACCTACCAGCATGTCTCTGGAGTGTGGGAGGAAACCAGAGTACCCGGAGGAAACCCACGCAGGCACAGGGAGAACATGCAAACTCCAAGCAGGTGGTGCCGTGGTGGGGATTCGAACCAACAACCCTAGTACTGCCAGGCGGAAGTGCTAACCATTTAGCCACTGTGCTGCCCTAAATATATCACTCCCAGGTAAGTGCTGCAAGAATGTGCAAGTAGAAAACACCTCCACCTTGTACTTGCATGTTCTTGCAGCACTTACCTAGGAGTGATAAATATTACAATTTGTATGGGACTACTACGTTCACGATTATATGAACTTTTGTTTTTTTTTTTTTTTGTTTTTTTTTATCAATTGACACAGAACACCAGATTACAGACACTGGTTATTACTCACAATAAATTATTGGAGATAATGCAGCATTTACTGTTATACATTCAGGTCATTTTTTTTTTTTTCACTTTATGCTTGCAGCTTTAATTATTCACACACTTGTGCACAGATCATCGTTTACACCTGTTTCTAACAGACTCTTCTGCTTTCCTTTGTGCTGATGTAGGTGTTCATGAATTGGTTTGAGAAGTTCCAGGACAGGCTGTATAAGAAGGTCGTCCTGCTGACGGGTGAGACTAGCACAGATTTGAAATTATTGGGAAAAGGTAACATCATTATTAGCACTCCAGAGAAGTGGGACATACTTTCCCGAAGATGGAAGCAGCGAAAAAATGTGCAGAATGTTAGCTTGTTTATTGTGGACGAGACCCATCTCATTGGAGGAGCAAACGGGGTGAGTATTTTGTTGGCTCAGTTAGCCCTTCAGATTTGCTTTTGCTCTGGTACCTGATTTTCTGTGTATATACTAAATTTTCAGAATTTGGTAAACATCTGCTATTATTACAAATTGTGCTGTCCTCTTACCCGTAGCCTGTGCTGGAGGTCATCTGTTCCCGTATGCGCTATATCTCCTCTCAAATCGAAAGGCCAATCCGCATTGTGGCTCTCAGTTCCTCCTTGTCCAATGCTAAAGATGTGGCTCACTGGCTGGGATGCAGTGCCACGTCAACTTTCAACTTCCATCCCAACGTGAGACCTGTCCCATTAGAATTGCACATACAGGTAAGATGCTTTTATGGTTAAATTGATAGATCATTTAAGCACAAGTTTCTTTATCTGCTTTGTTAACTTGGGAATTTGCTTCATCATAAAGAGTTTTGTTAAAATCATATTTTCTGTGCATGCATTTTAACCACTTGCCTACCAGGCACTTATACCCCCTTCCTTACCAGGCCAATTTTCAGCTTTCAGCGCTGCCGCACTTTGATTGACAATTTGCGCGGTCATGCAACATTGTACCCATATGAAATTTTGATCATTTTTTTCTCACAAATAGAGCTTTCTTTTGGTGGTATTTAATCGCCACTGGGCGCTTTACTTTTTGCGCTATAAATTAAAAATGTGCAAAAAATTTGAAAAAAAAAAAAAAAAGTTTATTTGTTTCTTTTATAAAATTTTTCAAACAGGTATTTTTTCTCCTTCACTGATTTGCGTTGATGAGGCGGCACTGATGGGCACTAATAGGCGGCACTGATGGGCACTGATAGGCAGCACTAAAGGGCACTGATAGGCAGTACTAATGAGGTGGCACGGATAGGCGGCACTGATAGACAGCACTAATTACGGGTCACGGATAGGCGGCACTGATATGCAGCACTGATAGGCGGCACTGATAGGTGACATTGATGATGGGTACTGATAGACGGCACTGACTGGCATCACTTCTGGGCACTGACTGGCGGCACTGACTGGCACAACCCCTGGGCACTGACTGGTGGCACTGACTGGCAGCACTGCTGGGCTGCACTGGTGGGCAGCACTGGTGGGTGGGCACAGGTGGGTGGCACTGGTGGGCCCAGGTGGGTGGCACTGGTGGGTGGCACTGCTGGGCACATGTAGGTGGCACTTCTGGGCACAGGTAGGTGGCACTGCAGAGTGGCACAGGTGGGGGCACTGCTGGGCACAGGTGGGGGCACTGCTGGGCACAGGTGGGGGCACTGCTGGGAATGGGTGGGCGGGGCTAGTGGGCGCACTGCTGGGTGGAACATGCGGGTGTCACTGCTGGGCACCGATCATCAGGGCACTGATCATCAGTGCCCTGATGATCGGTGCCGATCCCCGCTCTGACAACTGCCGGTTCTCGGCAGTACTTTCCTCACGATCTGACAGCGTGAGGAAAGTGCAGCCGAGAACCGGCACTTGCATTTCCCTGTGATCAGCGTGTCATTGGACACCGCTGATCACGTGGTAAAAGGCCGGTGGGATCGGCCTTTCACCACATCACGTGATCAGCTGTGTCCGTAGGACACAGCGATCACGGAGATCGCCGGGTGCGCGCCCCCTGGGGCGCGCAGGAGAGCGCGTTCTGGGAGGACGTCATATGACGTCCACTCAGAACTGGCCGGCCGCGGTGAAGCCGTCATCGGCTATGCGCGGTCGGCAAGAAGTTAAAGCAGTATTACACCCCAAAGCAGACTGGACTGGTATGCTGCAATTTTGTTTGAATAGTTTTTTATGACATTATCTGGCTTCGTGCTAAGATGACCAGATGATTCCATTTTTCTTTATGTAGTAGCATTTTCTAAAAATGTTCCCTTTTTATATTCATGATCATAATCAAAAATTCCATGTGCTTTGGCATCTTTTTGATGTTTGATTTCTGTTTACCCACTTGACGTCAAATCCCATACAATACGTCATTTGGCGCTAAGTGGTTGTACTTGTACCGGGATGATGCTTGCAGCTGCAGGCATCATCCTGGTATAATTTTTTTTTAAGCCGGTGGCCAGCTTTTATGTAAAAAGTCATCCTAGCGGCTATTTGGCGGTTGAATGACTTTTACAGGCGGTGGGTACAGCCTCTACTGTCCCGCTGGCAAGCACGGAATGAAAGCCAGCGCTTCCGTCTGCTTACCACAAAGATTTCTGAGGACTGGAAGGTGCACGGTGATCTCAGTGGTATAGTAAACTGGAAGCAATGAGCATTTTCATCACTTCCGGTTTCCCTGTTGTAAACCGTGCCATTTTTAAATATGGAATGCATCTGAACACATGGATCTTGGTGTGGTCATGTGCACAGGAGAGATCTGGAGTCTAATAGACCCCAGATCTCTCCATAAAAGAGTACTTGTCACTTCCTATTGCTGTCACAAGGGATGTTTATATTACTTTTGACTGCAATAAAAATGATCCCAAAAAAAAAATTTTTTTTTCTTTTTAACCTCCCTGACGGTATTCCCGAGTGTAGCTCGGGGTAAAGTTTCAGTACCAAAAGCGGTAACCCCGAGCTACACTCGGGCTTACCATGCAGCGCTGCTCCGGCATCTGTTCTTCACTTACCTTGCCCTGCGCTCCCGCAATGTCCCTCCTGCGGTGTCCCCGGCAATGTAATCCGGCGGATGCCGGCATCTGTCATCTGGGTTCCGACCCCTGCGAGCGTCGGGACGTACGGGGGACGGACGGCGGGAAATTTGAAAATGACAAAAAGTGACATTCACTCAATACACTAAAATCACATAGTAAAACATTACTGTATCAAGCCATTTCACATACATTTTGTCCCTAGTGCTTTGTCCTGTGCCCTGCCTGCATTTGTACCGTTCTTTCTGCCTGGAAACTGAGAAACGTCCATGGTGTCCAAAAAGTGTCCCTTTAGGTCAAAATCGGTTTTAGACCAGCTAGAGAACAGCGATCGTAAATTAGAACCACTTGCAGAATTGAGGGATAATGATTTGTGGGGAAATTCGTCATGAGACACTGAAAACAATTTTTGCGACTTTGCTCAGTGATGTGCGAACTTGGCGCTATATTTCAAATTTCAGTGTTTTTGGTTTGATTATATTATTGAATTAAATGTATTATTATTATATTATTATTTTTTATGATTATTTATTAAATTATAATTTATGATTTCGTGTTTCAAATTTTATCATACCCGAGATGTTTACTAGACTCTTGTTCAGACAGATTTCAGGGAGTTATTCCTAAAAATTACAGGCCTACAATAAAAAAAATACATATTTCCATGCAAAAAAATGTACCGCTTTGAGCACAGAAATATGGACATAATCAGACCGCTAGGGAGGTTAACATATATTTATTGATTTTTAGAAATATACAAAACAGAGTGATGTGGGCATTCCCTGGCTCGTAGAAATTACAAAATAACACATTACCATTAACAGAGCGTTGGTGCAAAAAAAACAAAATGTTAAATTTAAAAAAATAAACATTTTTTTTAAGGCACCCTATTATTCCATGATCGCACACAAAGACAAACCCATGCATTGGTCCTGTACGCATGCGTAAACGGTGATCACAGCACACGTATTGCCGGGAACATCAGAGCGAGAGCAAGCATTCTAGATCTCCTCTGTAACTTTCTATTTCAATATTTTTAAGAAAGTTTTGTTTTAAAAATACAAGCCCACTCAGGGGCAGAGTAGAACAATAACATACATAAACAGGTACATCCTTCTGACTTGTATTGGCCAAATAACGGAATGTCCAATGACATTAAGGAGGGATGGCAAAAAGCCGAACCAATTAAAAGCAGCAGCAATCCATCTCCTCTGTAACTTTTAAACTGGTAAGCTTTTGACACGTTGCTTATCTTGATGTAGTTTGTGGCCATTCCATGAGCATGCACAATTTTAAAGCATGACATGTTGGGTAATCTATTTATTCTGCATAACACCATCTTTTATATTTTCCCCAAAAATGGGTATTGTGTTTATGTGCATTAAAGTTTATTAAAGTGCACTTTTTCCGAAAAAAGTGCGTTAAAAAAACTGCTGCACAAATGTGACATAAATTGCAAAACCCAATATTTTATTCTTTAGGGTCAGCTAAAATATATATTGTTTGGGGGATCTAAGTAATTTTCTAGCAGACAAATACAGATTTTTACTTGTAAACAAAGTGTCAAAAAAAACGCTTCAAGTTGGTAATTTACATACATTTTTTTTTTTTTTTTAGGGATTTAACATCAGTCACACCCAGACAAGATTGCTCTCCATGGCCAAGCCTGTGTACCATGCCATAGTGAAACACTCACCTAAGAAACCCATTATTGTTTTTGTTCCATCAAGAAAACAAACTCGGCTCACAGCTATTGACATCATAAATACATGTTCCTCTGATGTGCAGCGACAAAGGTATGGGGATGGGTGGAGGAATAAAAGTGTGCGTGTGTATATGTGTATAATATTTGTGTGTGATATATATTTTATCTTTTTTGTAGCGCTGTACAAGCGAGAAAGTGTTCTAGATCTGTTAAAGCAATTTTGCTAAAACTTGTTTGCCTGTTACAGCTGAACCTCACAAGTGGTAGCTTTCCTTTAGTTCCCTTTTAATGTTTAGCTATGTTTAAATACTGTCATTAGAGTGCCACAGACCTCCCTTTCAAGAAAAAAAAAAAAAAGATTGTCCAGCTGCTATAATGGCCCAATGACTTAAGTACCGTATTTTTTCACTCCATAAGACGCACCTGACCATAAGACGCACCTAGGTTTTAGAGGGGAAAAACAAGAAAAAAAAATATTCTGAACCAATGGGACTGCAGACACAGTACAGGGGATGACCAGAGACTGCGGACATAGTACAGGAGATGACCAGAGACTGCAGACACAGTACAGGAGATACCAGAGACTGCGGACACAGTACAGGAGATGACCAGAGACTGCGGACACAGTACAGGAGATGACCAGAGACTGCGGACACAGTACAGGAGATGACCAGAGACTGCGGACACAGTACAGGAGATGACCAGAGACTGCGGACACAGTACAGGAGATGACCAGAGACTGCGCACACAGTACAGGAGATGACCAGAGACTGCGGACACAGTGCAGGGGATGACCAGAGACTGCGGACACAGTGCAGGGGATGACCAGAGACTGCGGATACAGTGCAGGGAATGACCAGAGACTGCAGACAGTGCAGGGAATGACCAGAGACTGCAGACATGCAGGGAATACCAGAGACTGCTGACAGTGCAGGGAATGACCAGAGACTGCTGACAGTGCAGGGAAGTGACCAGAGACTGCAGACAGTGCAGGGAATGACCAGAGACTGCAGACAGTGCAGGGAATGACCAGAGACTGCTGACCTTTGGAGAGGGAGGGGGAGCGGGTACCTGAATTTGTCAGTTACCCGCTCCCACTTCCACGGAGTTGTCCTTCCTTTCTTCTTCCCGGGCCGGCTTCTGTGACAGCCAGGTGCCCACTGCGCATGCGCGAGCGCGAGAAGCGCTGCGCTTTGTGAATGGCCCGGCGCATTTTGGGACCTGTTATGTGTCCCAGAAGACACCGGATCATTCACAAAGCGCAGCACATGCGCAGTGGGCACCCGGCTGTCACAGAAGCCAGCGCGGGAAGACTGTGCAGCGCTGGAGCGAGGAACAGGTAAGGCCCTGCAGGCGAGAACAGCTGAGCGGCCGGCCCGGTATTCTGACATGGTGGTGGCAGAAATACCGGACCAGCCGCTTTATATTCGCTCCATAAGACGCACTGACATTTTCCCCCCCCTTTTTTTGGGGGGAAAAAAGTGCGTCTTATGGAGCGAAAAATACGGTACTTTTGAGTTACTCGGGGAAAAAAAAGATTACAAATCAGGAAAGTCAGAAATCTTTAGCTCTATACCTTTTTTTGGTTTAACGGGTTTGACATAGTGAAAAAGAGAATCAGCGTGACAACCAGGGAAATAGCAGTTACAGAAAGAGCTTCACATTTCAGGCTGCGTGATGGATTGAATGAATATCTAGTGATTCGTGTAGGAATGACTGCAGATTGACGTAATGAGGGATAATTATCAGACAGAGACCTATTAAGTAGTAGTACTCTTCGTCTCCTGTGAAAAGCAGAAGTTAATGGAGCTCCTCCTTACAGGTTCCTGTATTGCACAGAGAAGGATCTGGCTCCATACCTTGACAAATTGAGTGATAACACTTTGAAAGAGACTCTTCTGAATGGTGTGGGTTATCTGCATGAGGGTCTCTCATCTTTGGAGAGGCGAATCGTCGAGCAGCTCTTTAACTCAGGTAAATGTGGACTTTTTTCTTCCTCAGCATATTATGCATTGTCTCAATCTGTATTTCTCTTTTCATTAATTTGAGGGGGACAGAAACATTTGGGGAAAGAGATTCTGAAAAGCCTTGAAAACCTTGAATTTATTTCAGTGAGAACAAGACTTCCTTTGATTGGAGGTGGAGAGGTGTCACAATCTCCACCTCAGCCAATCAGTGGAAGTCTTGTATTCATTGATAAAAATACAAGGTTTCCTGTGAATGGCTGGGAAGCACTCAGCCTGACTTATTTTTGTCCCCGTACCAGTGCAGGTACACAGTGCTGCATACTGTATGTAGCTGATGCTACTTACAGTGTAACCACTTTAGTACCAGGCACTTTTACCCCCTTCCTCTCCAGGCCAGTTTTCAGCTTTCAGTGTTGTCGCACTTAGAATGACAATTACATGGTCATGCAACACTGTACCCATAAAATAATTTGTATCATTTTTTTTTCACACAAATAGAGCTTTCTTTTGGTGGTATTTACCAGAGTTTATTTTTTGATAAATAACAAAAAAAAAACGCATTTTTCTTTGTTTCTGTTATTTGCAAAATTTTATTTCTCCATAAATTTAGGTCAAAATATATTCTCTTACATTTCTTTGATGAAAAATATATCAAATTAGTGTATATTATTTAGTCTGCAGGAGAGTTATAGATCAATCCTGATGTATTGATGGCCAATCTTATTTCTTGAGGCCCGAAAATACCGGGATAGTTCAACTTTTTTTAAGTTGTATTTTTTTTGGCACAATATTTTTGCTAAATGAAGAAATAAAAGAAAAAAAAATCACACTTTTTTTTTCCCCCCCATAATGTCATATATCATATAACTGGTGTGGTGATGATCAGAGACACTGACTAGTAACAGTCTGTAAAAAAAAAAAAAAATATATATATTAAAATATATGTGTGTGTATGTATATATATGTGTATATATGTATATATATATATATATATATATATATATATATAATTTTTTTTTTAATTACATTTTCTTTTCCTTTTTTTTTTTTTGTTTTACTATTTCATTCAACACCCTTTGACCAGAGCAATACAATGTTACCATAGTAACATTGTACAACTCTGGGCAAGTGATCAGGATTTTTTTTTTTTTTTTTTTTTACACACACACACTCCTCACTAAAGGTTACCGTATGCATTATGAAGGCCACGTGACTCATTTTTTGAGTCAATTCATCAAAGTAAAATATTGAATGTGAGTTTAATACCGCACATTTATGAAAATAGTGAGATAAATACCGCAAAAAAATGAGATAAATCATTAGTCAATTAAAAAACACACATTCGTTATCACCTGGTGTTTTAGAAATGTACAAAATAACAATTAGAGGAACTCTGCACTGGCCAGAAAGTGAAAAGTGTACACCGTATCAGTGTAAAATTGTTCTCCTCTGAGCTCAGGAATGAAAATAAATGGTAACATTTCATCAGAGGGAGATCATTTTGTGAATGAAAGCACACTACGATGTTTTCATAGTTTTCACATAATTGATGTGTGCTTTCTGGTGCAGTGTGAGCCTGCCCAAAAAAAATTGTGAAAAAACAAAAACACCAAAAATAATGCAAAATTTAAGCGCTAAATATCGCAAAACATAATTATTTAACGCATTTGGTATGAAACACGTTTTTTTTGTGAATTGACTACTTTTGAAATAAATATTGTGATTAGCCCTTTCTGTACCATATGACCAATCACAGCTAACAGTTCACAATTGTATACAATGGATGGAATGAAAGGAAGCCATCCATTGTATACAATTGTCATGTGATCTGCTGTGATTGGTCACATGACACTGCCAGTGGGCCGGTATAGTGATCTGTCATCGGCTGGGTCCCGTTGACACATCTGGTGACAGATTGCGCCAGTGTGCGGCCGCGTAAACGGCACTTTCTAACAGGACGTCATATGTAGTCCATTCAGGAGGAGCGTGTTAAACCGCAAACTACTTAAAGCAAAAGTAAACCTAGATTTAAGCTTTAAAGTGGTACTAATTTGTTCTGGCAGCAGATAGGAAGTCCCCGAGAAACTATTTAATGTAAAAGTAAGCCTGGTATTGGGCTTTAATGTACTTTATCCCCCAGCATTAATTGTAGAATTTTAACATTGCTGCGTGTATGCATTGCCAAAACTTGGGGAAGGGGTCAGAACTCCTATCCAGTTTTCATTGCAGTCTGTATCCAGGCTGGTTAGATTCGCTTTCGGTTTGTCCTGGTGACTACTATCACTGGGACAGAAAGCCATGGGAAATCCAAAATGTTACAGTTGTCACCAGAATGGTGAATAAGGCCAAATCTTTTCAGTGGGGAACTTGATCGGTGACAAATAAGAGGAGATTTCCTCTCACTTCCTTTTTTTTTTTTTATTTTTTTACAAGAGTTGAAGGAAAATCTCTCCAATGTGAAAAACAGAAAAAAAATAAACTCATGTTTTTAAACCTTTGTTACACCAATCAAAACAAAAAAAGTTTTGACTTTACGTATGCTTTAAATTTCTTTCCTGTCATGACCTGTCACTTCTTTAATAGAACCCTAATGTGTATTGTTCTCCCATTTAATAGGGGCAGTACAGGTAATTGTAGCTTCTCGCAGTCTTTGCTGGGGTCTGAACATTGCCGCTCACCTGGTCATCATCATGGACACTCAGTACTATAATGGGAAAATTCATGCGTATGTATCTTCAATATTTTATGAGGGAAATTTCTTGTATTATCTGCTCATCTCATTGCTGTATTTTCTTTCTGCAGTTATGTGGACTACCCCATCTATGATGTTCTTCAGATGGTAGGGTACGCTAACAGGCCCTTGCAGGATGATGAGGGGCGATGCGTCATCATGTGTCAAGGGTCAAAGAAGGTGAGGTTATATTGAGGAAGATTAGCTTTGCTCACCTTTTTCCTAAACATTACATAATGTTGTGTTAGATCCTGATTCTAATAGCAATGTTTATAGACTAAGAAACTCATTCGAATTATTCATCCAGCGATCTGCTTAGAGTGAATTGATATTTCGCTGCTGTTTTTGTTATGCATTGCTGTTCATATTATTTATGAAGCAGTGTAAAAAAAAAAAAAGTACTGATGATATGATATGCAAGTTTTTTAATGTCATAGCAGTTTGTCGAATTCACCTTTCTCTCATCTGCTGTCTGTGCTTTTAGGCATGTATGTCTGTTGCTCAGCCTTTACCTTCTTTTCAGCCAGTATTTTATATATGCCTTGGTTTTTTTTACATATTTTCTTACTGTTGTGTATAAACTGTTTCCCAGGATTTCTTTAAGAAGTTTCTGTATGAGCCTCTGCCTGTGGAATCTCACTTGGATCACTGCTTACATGACCACTTCAATGCAGAAATTGTCACCAAGACCATAGAGAACAAACAGGATGCTGTGGATTATCTGACCTGGACATTCTTGTACAGAAGAATGACACAGAACCCCAACTACTACAATCTGCAGGGTGAGGACAGAGATTGAACTTAGTGACTTGCTCTCACAATCATTTATCTATCTATCTATCTATCTATCTATCTATCTATCTATCTATCATGTGTATTGAAAGTATGTAGTAACAGTTTGTTTCTTCTGGTAAGTGCCAAATACTCTACCTTATTTATATTTGATTCTAAAATCTTTCAAGTCTTACTGTTCGAGTTAATAATGTCAGTCTATAACGATCTATGAACATGCGTTTTCAGGTGTTTCCCACAGACATCTGTCAGATCACTTGTCAGAACTGGTGGAACAGACACTCAGTGACCTAGAACAGTCCAAGTGCATTAGCATTGAGGATGAAATGGACGTGGCCCCGCTTAATCTGGGCATGATTGCAGCCTATTATTACATCAACTACACCACTATTGGTAAGCAACTGTCCTTTTCTCTTTCCACCTCAAATTCTTTAGCGTACTTGACTAATAAGAACAAAGTAAACGTGCCAATAGTTGACCGCTCCTGTTTGATAGAAGGTGAAATCTGGTTGCTGAGGCTAACCTTATCACGTTGCTGACACCACTGTATTAGTCAAACTTTTTTTTTTCTGTTCTCTCCCCTCATTCCTTACTTTTATTTACTACTCAGAGCTCTTCAGCATGTCTTTGAATGCCAAGACAAAGGTACGAGGATTGATCGAGATTATTTCAAATGCTGCAGAGTATGAAAGTATACCCATCCGTCACCGGGAGGATAACCTGCTGCGCCAGGTAGGTAGTCACGTGTAATAATTATGTGGCGTTGGCATTGTTGCCTCAAATATGTGGTGACATTGTGGCTTCAAACAAAGCATCTTTCTTGATCTACAGCAGGGAGTCAGATTATTTCTTTCATTATCTGATACTTTGAAAGCAGAAGAAAAAGGAGAATTCAGTTTATGGACATCTGTAACGTCTGAGCACACAGTTTTGTTGCTTTCAATCTGCTTCAACCACGTGTCCAGGTTTTAAGCATACAAACTTTACAAAAAAGGGGTGCAAGTTGATCAAAAATGACTTTAAGATGTTTTTGAATTGTATTTTACTGCCCCTTTTTGATTAATTTGATTGCTGAAATTTAGGATATGTTTGCACCAGAAAGCTGATTGAATAGTGCCATAACTGCCTGTATAGAAACCATTCTGTAAAAGGAGCCCTGCAGCTATATAAATCCTCAGTGACTCTAGAGCCAAACTACAGCCCCAAATATACTCCCCTACACATTTCATCAATGGTACAGTTACATCTCTTGCTCTGGCTGCTGTCATCTTCTCCTGGGTGCCTTGTTATTGGCCTCTTGATTAGCCGGTGGGAGTTGACTTCATCGTACACATGGGGATCAGTCATTCTGGCACAGCCAGAGGTGTGTAAGCATTGTGCAGCTCAGTGTCTATTCAATAGAAAGCTGCGGGCAGGCAGGTGTGTATTATTGCAGAAGAGACATGGCATGTCTCTTTTAAAAAGCTGCCTGCTCACAGTTTTCTACAAGTTACATTTAGTTATGCTTTAAGTACTGGCGTATTCCCCTCCCCCCTAAAGCACGCGCATATCACCCCCATCCTCAAAAAGCCCTCCCTGGATCCCGCGGACCCCAACAACCTCAGACCCATCTCTCTTGCTGCCACTCACCTCCAAGCTCCTTGAACGCATAGTCTACGATCGCCTAAGCGCCCACCTTACAGACAATAACCTCCTTGACCCTCTACAGTCCGGCTTCCGTCCCCTACACTCCACTGAAACTGCCCTCCTCAAAATCACTAACGACCTACTCAACGCCAAAGCCAAGGGCGACTACTCTGTCCTCCTTCTCCTGGACCTCTCTGCGGCCTTCGACACAGTTGACCACCCCCTCCTCCTTAATAAACTACTCTCCCTTGGCATCGGAGATACTGCTCTCTCTTGGTTCTCATCCTACCTATCCCGACGCTCCTTCAGTGTCACCTACAATGGTGCCACCTCCCCCTCCCTCCCCCTCTCTGTTGGGGTCCCCCAAGGCTCTGTCCTTGGACCCCTTCTCTTCTCCATCTACACCTCCTCCCTGGGCAAACTCATACAATCTCACGGCTTCAACTATCACCTCTATGCTGACGACACCCAAATCTACCTCTCCACCCCTCACCTCACCCCCACTATCTCCACCCGCATCACTCACCTCCTAAATGACATCTCAGACTGGATGTTGCTACATTTCCTCAAGCTCAACCTCTCCAAAACCGAGCTCCTCATCTTTCCCCCTGCCAACACCCCCCCCCCCCCCCCCCCCCCATCCTATCCATCATCACCAACAACTCCACTATCACTCCCGCCCCGCAAGCCAAAGTCCTTGGCGTCATTCTTGACGCGAACCTCTCCCTCCAACCACATGTCAAATCACTCACAAACACATGCAGGCTCCATCTTCGCAACATTGCCAAGATACGCTCCTTCCTCACCCCAGACACCACCAAACTTCTAGTACACTCCCTCATCATCTCACGCCTTGACTACTGCAACTCCCTCCTTACTGGCCTACCCAAGTGCAGGCTCTCCCCGCTCCAGACCATCCTGAACTCAGCTGCCAGACTCATCCACCTCACAACCCGCTCCACCTCTGCCACCCCCCTCTGCCTCTCCCTCCACTGGCTCCCGATTGCCCAACGCATCAAATTTAAACTCCTAACCCTGACCTACAAAGCCGTTCACAACACTGCCCCTAACTACCTCACCAACCTGATCACCAAGTACCACCCTACCCGTACCCTTCGCTCCTCACAGGACCTCCTTCTATCCTGCTCCCTGGTCTCCTCCTCCCATGCACGACTGCAGGACTTCTCCAGGTCCTCCCCCATCCTCTGGAACTCACTGCCCCAATCCATCAGACTGTCGCCTTCCCTATTCACATTCAGGCGCTCCCTCAAAACCCATCTCTTCAGGGAAGCCTACCCCACCCTCACCTAACGGCCATCCTCCCTCATTCCTCCCACCACTTCATCCCCCTCAGCCACTTCCTACTGTACCTTTACCCCCTCCCTCCTAGATTGTAAGCTCGTAAGAGTAGGGCCCTCTTACCCCTCGTACGTTGTTTGTTGTTGTTGTACTGTGCCATGTATTGTCCCCCCCTATTGTACAGCGCTGAGCAAACCCTTTGGCGCTATATAAACTCGTAGTAATAATAATAATAAGTATCACAAGGTAGGTAAGCTTTTAGGAATGTCTGTGCAGACATTATTGGAATTAAATAACTGATAAAACAGCTGTCATTGTTTGATGAGCCTTTTGTTCTGATCTACATTGTGGTTCTTTTTCCAGTTGGCACAGAAAGTCCCCCACAAACTGACCAATCCAAAATTCAACGACCCCCATGTGAAGACCAACCTTCTGCTCCAGGCTCACCTCTCCCGCATGCAGCTGAGTGCAGAGCTCCAGTCAGACACAGAAGAGATCCTTAGTAAGGTGAGTGAGCACTGCCATATATTTAACTGATCACATGCTCTTTTTAGGGATGAGCACTCATTCTTCTGTTGACCGTCTTCTGTTCCAGGCAATCCGACTTATCCAGGCATGTGTGGATGTGCTCTCCAGTAATGGCTGGCTCAGTCCAGCTCTCGCTGCTATGGAACTGGCACAAATGGTCACACAAGCTATGTGGTCTAAGGACTCTTACCTAAAACAGCTGCCACACTTCACTTCTGAGCACATCAAGAGATGCACAGATAAGGTAAAAACTTTGCTTGCAGGACTGACTGTAGTATGGAAAGAGCACAATTTGGATACGGCAGATTACATCTTGGTGTTTTTTTAGGGAGTGGAAAGTGTGTTTGATATCATGGAGATGGAAGATGAAGATCGCACAGAACTGCTGGAACTCACTGATTCCCAGATGGCAGATGTAGCCCGTTTCTGTAACCGCTATCCTAATATTGAGTTGTCTTATGAGGTGGCAGAGAGAGACTCTATTAGGAGGTGAGTGATTTACTATGCACATACAGGTGAAACTCGAAAAATTAGAATATCGTGCAAAAGTTCATTTAGTTCAGTAATGCAACTTAAAAGGTGAATCTAATATATGAGATAGACTCATTACATGCAAAGCAAGATAGTTCAAGCCGTGATTTGTCATAATTGTGATGATTATGGCTTACAGCTCATAAAAACCCCAAATCCACAATCTCAGAAAATTAGAATATTACATGCAATCAATAAAACAAGGATTGTACATAGAACAATATCAGACCTCTGAAAAGTATAAGCATGCATATGTACTCAGTACTTGGTTTGGGCCCCTTTTGCAGCAATTACTGCCTCAATGAGGCGTGGCATGGAAGCCATCAGCCTGTGGCACTACTGAGGTGTTATGGAAGACCAGGATGCTTCAATAGCGGCCTTCAGCTCTTCTGCATTGTTCGGTCTCATGTCTCTCATCTTTCTCTTGGCAATGCCCCATAGATTTGCTATGGGGTTCAGGTCAGGTGAGTTTGCTGGCCAATCAAGCACAGTAATCCCACGGTCCTTGAACCAGGTTTTGGTGCTTTTGGCAGTGTGGGCAGGTGCCAAGTCCTGCTGGAAAATGAAGTCAGCATCCCCATAAAGCTCGTCTGTGGAAGGAAGCATGAAGTGCTCCAAAATCTCCTGGTAGACGGCTGCGTTGACCCTGGACTTAATGAAGCACAGTGGACCAACACCAGCAGATGACATGGCTCCCTAAATCAACACAGACTGTGTAAACTTCACACTGGACTTCAAGCATCTTGCAGTGTGTGCCTCTACATTCTTCCTCCATACTCTGGGTCCTTGGTTTCCAAATGAGATGCAAAAGTTGCTCTCATCAGAAAAGAGGACTTTGGACCACTGAACAACAAACCAGGTCTGTTTTTGTTTAGCCCAGGTAAGACGCTTCTGACGTTGTTTGTTGTTCAGGGGCGGCTTGACAAAGAGGAATACAACATTAGAAGCCCATGTCCAGGATCCGTCTGTGTGTGGTGACTCTTGATGCACTGACTTCAGCCTCAGTCCACTCCTTGTGAAATTCCCCAACACTTTTGAATGGCCTTTTCCTGACAATCCTCCCCAGGCTGCGATCATCCCTGCTGCTTGTGCGCCTTTTTCTTCCACACTTTTCCCTTCCAGATAACTTTCTATTAATGTGCTTTGATACAACACTTTGGGAACATCCAACTTCTTTTGCAATTACCTTTTGAGGCTTTCCCTCCTTATGGAGGGTGTCCATGATGGTTTTCTGCACAACTGTCAGGTCAGCAGTCTTTCCCATGATTGTGATTCCTACTGAACCAGACTGAGAGACCATTTAAAGGCTCAGGAACCCTTTGCAGGTGTTATGGCTTAATTAGCTGATTAGAGTGGGACACTTTGAGCCTAGAATATTGCACCTTTTCACAATATTCTAATTTTCTGAGATTGTGGATTTGGGGTTTTCATGAGCTTTAAGCCATAATCATCACAATTATGACAAATCCCAGCTTGAACTATCTTGCTTTGCATGTAATGAGTCTATCTCATATATTAGTTTCACCTTTTAAGTTGCATTACTGAAATAAATTAACTTTTGCACGATATTCTAATTTTATGAGTTTCACCTGTAGGTATGCTTCTGTTAGGAGGAAGAGCTATGAAATGTCTGTGGAAAGCTACCTCACAATAGAATATGATAGGAATGGAATAAACGTGAGCGGGAGGGGGCTTATTTGTAAACACTGGAGAAACCACATAGATTTCAAATGATCCAATTTATTTGGTTTCTATAGGCAACCATAACAGATGTCCATAGCATGATTAAAGATGGTAGTACAGGTATAGGGTTTTTTTTTTTTGGGGGTGGTTGGACAGCCTGCCAGATGTCAAGATTAGTGGTGCATTAGATTAATGGTTTATGGCGAGTAAATAGATACCAAACATGTCACGCTTTAAAATTGCACATGCTCGAGGAATGGCGTGAAACTGCGGTACTTAAAAATCTCCATGAGTGATGCTTTAAAAATATCTACAGGTTAGCAGTGTAAAGTTAGAGGAGGCCCAGTGCTGGAATTATTGCTCTTGCTCCGACGTTCGTGGCGATACCTCACATGTGTGGTTTGAACACCATTTACATATGTGGGCATGGCCTTCATATGCGTTCACCACTATGTGTGCGAGCACGGGGGGACGGGGGCACTTTAAACTTTTAAAAAAAAAAATGTATTTAATGTTTTTTTGTCTTGTTTTGTTTTTTGCACTGTTCCTTTTAAAAAAAATTGTAATCACTTATATTTTTATCACAAGAAATGCATGCATCCCTTGTGATAGAAATAATTAGTGACAGGTCCTCTTTATGGAGATTATTATTATTATTATTATACAGTATTTATAAAGCGCCAATATTCACTCAGGGCTGTCAATAAGAACATCCCAATACAATCTCCCTCTCTCTTACAATCTAGCAAATGTAAAGCATTAGATCAAAAAAAGTATTGATCTAGTGCTTTAAAAAAAAAAAAAAAAAAAAAAAAAGCCAGAATCGGAAGTTACATCGCTTTGGTCCTCCAAGGGCATAGAGATGTGTGGCGGCCATCTTTCCTTCACTCATCTCTATGCCCAGCGCTGGGATCGATGGTTTCTCAGGTAAGACTGAAAGACTACCACCAGCGGACGGGCGATGGTGGCGAGGGGTGGGGGTTTTTTTTGGGCACCTGTATCTGCGCTTTTTTTTTTTTTTTTTCGGCCGAAATGTTTCAGCCTCTGGAATTTCGGTGCATCCCTAGTCAAAATACCAGAACAATGCTTCCTGCTGATTGGATGCAGACGCTGTTTGGCACAGGTAGTGACCGACAAGGCCGCCCACTAAACATATTTTGTCCAGTTTATCTACATATAGCTATAATGTTGTTTAGCTGATGAATGTGCTTGTATTAGAAATATGTTTGTTTTGTCTTTTTTATAGTGGTGGTGCCGTTGTGGTGCTTGTGCAACTGGAACGAGAGGAAGAAGTTACAGGTCCTGTAATTGCTCCCTTATTCCCCCAGGTATGTTTTATCCTAACCCTATTTTACACCCAAAAATCTGTGTGTCATTTATACCATGAGGTAGCTGTATAATGGAGTACATGTAATTCATAATATAAATCCAGCTATTTACATACCTACTGCCAGTAACAACCTCGTGTAGTTCAGACTTGTACTGCTCTTTTATTTTCAGACTAGTATACTAGGCTTTCTTCATCTAATCACTACTTTTTTTTTTTTTTTTTCCTCCATAATAAAATTTTAATAAATTAAAATGACAAATGCATACAGGATTGTCAACAGATATTAGCAAAAGAATATCAAAATCAACAACCCAATCTAGAGTCGTAACATAAACAATTATTTACACATTAGATACAGTATGCAATCAAGAAAACTTCTGTGGAGTCAAAAACCCAGAGGGGCACAGGAAGTCGCATACCATAAGCAGAACATAAAACCAGAAAAAAAGAAAAAGCAAACATAAAAAAAAAAATGACCACTACTTTCTTTCTGTACAATTGAAGTGTGCCTAGAATTGGGAAGAAAATGGTTGAAATAGTTGTGGTCATGATCCAAAGTGTTTTTTATCTTGATTGGAACAATTTTACTAACCTACATATCACAAAAAATGTTAAGTTGCAGTGATTTGATGACAAAAAAAAGTATAGTTTGATGCAGAGCGCATACTATATATATTTGCCAGCTAAAAAGAATATATGAAATGACTGAAGCTACAAATTAAACCAAACCTGTAACTGGTTCATTTGATGGCCCATTTTCCTTTCTGCTTCCTGGTGCTCCCCTGCTGGAGCCCCTCGTGAAATACCCTGTATTTCCAGGTATGGTAGTCTTGCTACTCTTCCTACCACAATATAGATGATCTAGATGTCTGGGCAGCCAATTGCCAGGCTTGAGTCATGTGGGGGATGGGTAGAACCAATAACCCATGTAAGTGCCAATTTGGGATTGAAAGTGGGAGTTACATAGGATCTTTGGAGGGGCTCTGTGGGAAGCCAATGAAAGTATCAGTAATAGAGGATGTGAGCTTCCCAGCACACTTTATCTTAAATGGTACAGGTTCACTTTAAACCAATAATTCCATATAAAGTTTGTACACCATAACTGCTTAGTACTGTATACAATAAAGCTGTAAATTTATTTGTCTGCTGGAATCTTTTCAGAAACGTGAAGAAGGTTGGTGGGTTGTAATTGGTGATGCCAAATCCAACAGCCTAATCTCCATCAAGAGGCTGACATTACAGCAGAAAGCTAAGGTGAGTCTTCTATGAAGTGGAGAATGATGCTGCTTCTCCTTATGTCATTTGCTGCAGTTATAAAAGTACCATCCTCTACTTTGTTTCATACCTGCTTTTAATTTTTTTCAAATCAAAGCCTCAGTAATGTTCATAATCTTTATACCTTTGTAAATGTCACAGCTTTTGAATTAATCTAAAATAAAGCAGGTCCTGCAACAGTTTTCAGGTTTGCCTGCTTTTATACCAATATTTGTAGGTCCCCTAGATAATTTCTGAAGCAACTCCAGTTTCTCTATTTTCATAGAGTTATTAAGCTGTCTGTGTCTATGGCTGAACATCAGTTCCTTGTTAACTACTTGCCAACCGCAGATAGCCGAATGACGGCTACACTGCAGCCGGCCAGTTCTGGGAGGGAGTCATATGACGTCCTCCCAGAACGTGCTCTCCTGCGCGCCCCTGGCGATCTCCGTGATCGCTGTGTCTTACGGACACAGCTGATCACGTGATGTGGTAAAAGGCCAATCACAGCGACCTTTTACCACAAGATCAGCCGTGTCCAATGACACGCTGATCACTGGGAAATGCAATTGCCGGTTCTCGGCTGCACTTTCCTTGCGCTGTCAGAGCGCGAGGAAAGTACTGCCGAGAATCGGCAATTGTCAGAGCAGGGATCGGCACCGATCATCAGGGCACTGATGATCGGTGCCCAGCAGTGCCGCCTATCTGTGACACCTCATTAGTGCTGCCTAATCAATGAAGGAGAAAAATTACCTGTTTGAAAAATTTTATAATAGAAACAAACTTTTTTTTTTTTCTTTTCAAATTTTTTGTTTATAGCGCAAAAAGTAAAGCGCCCAGCGGCGATTAAATACCACCAAAAGAAAGTTCTATTTGTGAGAAAAAAAATTATAAAAATTTCATATGGGTACAATCTTGCATGACCGTGCAATTGTCATTCAAAGTGGGACAGCGCTGAAAGCTGGCCTGGTAAAGAAGGGGGTATAAGTGCCCAGTAGGCACGTGGTTAATTTATGTACTTGCATGTGCAGGTTTTCCCATGTAGTTACCACTGTACATGCGTCATCAGACACCGCTCTCCTCTCTGATTTTCTGGAACAGATTGAGTTGTCAGGAGATATCCACTCCCATCCCTTTAGTTCCCACAGTACGTTGTTTTTTTTTTTTGTACGTTGTGTTAATCAGCATCCAACCACCCCTTGTACTCATACCCCTGGCCTCACACTTTGCTGTTATGTTAGAGACTTACAGGTGCCTAGCTCTGTCAGGATTTGCATATATTTGTGAAAGATGCTGTACTTCATGCTTGCGGTACTAGTCGACACCTTTGTGCACTTGTTACAGATTCTTGGCTTGCTTTAAACCACAATGTTTACTTTGGGTATTTACCCTGTGTTCATTTCCTATAGTTTAGAACTGCATTTTAATGTTTTGGTTTTTTTTTTATTTTTTAAAAGTGTTTATTGATTACTGTTCTAACATGGCTTTTTTTTTTTTTTTCCTGCCACTAGGTAAAACTGGACTTTGTGGCTCCAGCCACAGGAACACACAATTATACGTTGTACTTTATGAGTGATGCTTACATGGGCTGTGACCAGGAGTATAAGTTCAGTGTAGATGTGAAAGAGGCAGAGAGCGACAGTGACTCTGATTAAGAGTGTTTTTCATTTGCTCTTGTGGAGGCAGCCGTTCTAGCAGTCTTCATCCTTGCATACCAATTCCTTGTGTGGGCAATTGTAGACACAGTACAGATTGTTGTAAATAGAAACTTTTTAAATGTGATATTATTGCGACACCAGTTAACATGTATGGTGCCGCCCTTAATAGAAGTTTGTGACTCTTGTCATGTCTTGTTTATCTGCAAGAGTATAAAATAAAATTTGTTACAAGTTCTTGAGTTGTTTTTTTTTTTCTCTTAGCACCAGGATGTCTGAATCTTCTTTTTTTTTTTTTTTTTTTTTTTTAAGTGATGATCTTTCCTTAATACTGTATAGTTTATGCAATACGAGTCATTCTGTACCCAAACACTCCTGAACATTTTAGAACAGATTTCAGTGGTGAGGTAAATATTTAATAATGACAAAACAGCACATTGTAATATACTTACAAAAAAAAAGGACTTCATATGTTCTGGACAAATACATAACTATACCAATCTCTTATGATTTCTGTTAAAGATCAGCAGAAAAGATTTCCTTGTTTTGATTGGAGTAAAGCAGGACTTAAACCTCTCACTTGTTCTTCTTCCTTTATGGAAACATGGTTAAGCTGAGTTATGTGGTGAACAGCTCTCCACTGCCTTCTCCATGTATTGTCATGAAGCATAAACATTTTGACACAGTTGAAAACCATTCATCTTGCTTCAACAGATGGAGACCACACTTAAACCAGCTACTTGGCTATGCTGACCATACATCACAGCTGCAGCAGAGTGATGCAAGACCTCTCTCCATCCTGCTTCTAGAAAGTAGGAGCTGAGTTTTGCATCACTACTCCCAAAGTGGGGAAACTGATTTTGGGCACAGTTGCTCTCTACGTCCCAGTTTCCATATACAGCCGTGCGGGCTCCGTTTTGGCACGAGAGCCCATTCATTTATATGGACTCTGGTGCCCCATGACATGCAGGGAAGAAGTCCTTGCATTTCTTCTGAAAACGCAGCCTGCACAGCAACCTCGGTTCTCAGTACAGTTGCGTTTTCCAGTGGGGGCAGCTTGCCATTAGAACTAATGGCACCCACCAGAGGTCCACATTTCTCTGTGCGGGTGGTGCGGCTGTACGGATTTTCATGCGGATCCGCAGCAGCACCACCCGCACAGATGTGAACCTAGCCTTAAAGCCTACAGCTGTTTAATTCTAGGCTAGCTTCACAGTTTTCATGAGGAATGCATTACTTTTAACATGCTAGATTTTGAAAATGTATTACCAAGCAATCATTTGAAACATGACTGCTCTAAGAGAAAATGCTTATTAACCCAGAAAGTGTAATTTAAAGCCAAGCAACTGTATGCTGCGTCATTGCCAATGTTTGAAACAAGGAAACCACAAACTGATGTGAAATAATTAGTCACCTAAACCTAGTTATCAGTTATTCTGGCCGCTGGTACTGCCAGAATGCCATATCTCCATCATCACTACAGGATGCCAAAAGCCCAGGCTCCTTAGGATGCCATGCTACACAGTTGACATCCTGAGAGTGGGCTCGTGGCATGTGGGCTGTAAGAGAAAAAGTTGACTGCAATGGATCAGAGCCTGGGTCTTCTTCAAATATCCGGATCGCGTCATCTCCACAGCCTGAGGCAAGAGAACCAGTCAGATGACTCCTGTGTGGTACAAAGAATAAAAATGTTTAAGAACCAAAACAGAAGTATCAAACATCTCCATAATAGAACTTGTTTGAGGCTTACCAACTAACATCATAGACTGTCCTGGTGTGGTACCCTGTCAGTGTGCATACGCACTTCCAGCTTGCATCTTTTTTACTTCCACCTACAGGAATAAAATGTAAAAAAGGGTTTTCACAAAACAGAAAAAGCTATTAGTATAGCACCTGTGGAAAAATATCTAAAGGAGTAATGCCCCAAAAAACAGATGTTTATACATTTAGGTTAGGAGGTTGGAGTCATAAGCAGGTACAGGTTAGATCCAGGGCTGGATGTAGCCTGTCTGGGGTGAGGCCAGTGTAAAAGGGTCTGCAGCATAGGGGTCACTATTGGCAGGGCATGCAGCAGATCTTATCACTACACATAGCTGAAATCTGATTCCCATACACACAGCCATGATCTGTACAATGGGTAGCTGAGATGCCATGGCTGCCAGGGAATTTGCACAGTGTGTAGCTGCCTGCTATGTTGCAGTTCTGACCTGTGAGATTGTAGATGTAAGGAAATCCGATTTCAGCTGTATGCGGAGGAGGGTGATCTCCTGTCTGTTCCTGTTTCCCACTCATAGCAACCCTGGTCCCTCTGGCCATCTAACCCACATGGCTTTGTGAGTACCTGAGGACTTGCCGCATACATTGAGCCTAGTTGCATTACCACCCCATGGTCACAACATGCATTCCTGTTGCCCCAGTTGAGGGTCTCTAAACTTTTCCAGAGAAGTTTATTCTCTCCCCTCTGAGAGCACCAATATGTGTAATTCAGTGACCAAACGGTTTTTTAAAAGGTCCTCCTGATCGGAATCTCCTTTGGTTCCACTGGGTGAAGTGGAGCTTCCTACTCTGTTGTCAGGGACCTCTTCTATCATACATGACTGTGGTCAAATCCACCCAATTCCTCAAGGATTCCATCCACAAAGGTTGTGACTACACTCCTGCACATTCCCCCTGCATATTTATTATCTGATCTCCCTGAGGTCTTTGAACAGGAGGAGTCACTGGTTGTAGTAAGCTTCTAAATCTAAAATCCACCCTCTCTGATGAAAATGGTTTTGAGGCAAATCAGTTTCTTGCCATCACCACAAATTTTCAAGAGGTTGTTTCATCACTTATTGATGCAGTATGCACTGTCCTGCATCTGGAGGATCAGCCTGTTGTATTTCAGAGCTCCTACAGTTGCAAGACTTTCTCCTCTACCCACTGTTTGAGGTATTTTTTTTTTTTTTTCAGGTACTTTTGTAGTGCCATCAATTTACATAGTACAATCTAAGATCCTAACTCACATTCATACATACACATATTACAGCCAATTAACATACCAGTCTGTCTTTGGAGTGTTGGGAAAAAAACAGAATACCCAGAGGAAACCCACACAGGGAGAACATGCAAACTCCAGGCAGGTAGTGCCATGGTTGGGATTCAAACCAGCAATGCTAGTACTGCTAGGTGGAAGTGATAACTGATCACTGTACCATGTGACCAATCACAGCAGAGCATGACAGTTGTAAACAAATGGCTTGCTTTCATGCCATTCATTGCTTAGAATTGTGTTGCTAGTGAAATTGGTCACAGTGACCACATGGTACAGAGAGAGCCAATCACTACTGAATTAATCAGTTTCAGTAAAAATGGTTATTTATACCAGTGAAATTCACTGGTATAAGCAATCATAATGTGAAAAAAAAAATCCTGATCACTTGCCTAAAGTAGGACAATATTACTAAGGGAACCAAGTGAAAAAAAAAAAAATTTTTTCTTTTTAAACAGTGTCCCTGATCACCACCACACCGCAATGGTGACAGTATGTAAAGAAAAAACATTGTGAAAGTTTAATTTCTTCATATTCCACAAAATCATGATAAAAAAAAAAAAAAACACACTTCACCATGCCTCTTACTAAAATACCTCAGATTGTCTGTCTGCTTTCCAAAAGCAGTCATTTGGTGGGGTATTTGTACTGTTCGGGCATTTTAGGGCTGCAAGAAATTAGAAAGGCCTTCAGGACTGATCGATTTTCAGATCCTGTATATACCATAGTTTGTGGCCTTTATCTTTATAACTTTCCCACAGACTAATAAATACAGATTTAGGTTATTTTCATCAATGAAATGTAGCAGAATACATTTTGTCCTAAATTTTTGAAGAAAGATTTGCAAAATGTTAACAGAAAACAAAGAATTTTTTTATGTTTTATAGTGCAAAAAATAGAAAACCCAGTGGTGATTAAATACCACTGATGAAATGTCTATTTGTGTGAAAAAAAAAAAATATTATATGGGTACAGAGTTGCATGATCACGCACTTTTCATTCAAAGGAAGAAAGCACTGAAAACTGTCCTTGGCAGGAAAAGGGGTAAAAGTGCCCAGAATTGAGGTGGTTAAGGAAACATACGCCTCATCGTAGGTGCACAAACCAGGCTCCTTTAACAAATATCCTGCTAAGCCCCACAGCAGCCTTCAGTATGAAGTTGGGTCCCAGTTACAGTGAAGGAAATAAGTATTTGATCCCCTGCTGATTTTGAATGTTTGCCCACTCACAAGGAAATGATCAGTCTAAAAATCAGCAGGTGTATTGTAACAGACAGAATAGCAACAAAAAAATTTAAAAGAAATGCATGTCTAACAAATGATGCACTGATTTGCATGTTCATGAGGGAAATAAGTATTTGATCCCCTTCACAAAACATGACTTAGTACTTGGTGGCAAATCCCTTGTTGGCAATCACAGAGGTCAGACGTTTCCTGTAGTTGGCCCCCAGGTTTGCACACATCTCAGGAGGGATTTTGGCCCACTCCTCTTGGCAGATCCTCTCCAAGTCATTAACCTCCTTAGCGGTTTTCCCGAGTGTAGCTCGGGGTAAAATTTGAGTACCAAGAGCGGTAACCCCGAGCTACACTTGGGCTTACCATGCGGCATTGCTCAGGGGGTCCCTGCAGCACTCACCTTGTCCTTCGCTCCCACGATGTGTCCCCGGCCATCTCCTCCAGCCAATGCCGACGTACGGGCGGCCGGAACTGGCGGCAAATTTGAAATTTTTTAAAAATGTCATTTTTGCGGTCATTGCTGTTTCAATGCATTTCACATATATTTTTGTCCCTACTGCTTTGTCCTGTGCCCTGCCTGCATTTTGACTGTTCTTTCTGCCTGGAAACTTAGAAAAGTCCATGTGCGAATTTGCCTCTGTATTTCAAATTTCAGTGTTTTTGGTTTTCAATTATATTATTGAATTAAATGTATTATATTATTTTTTATGATTATTTATTAAATTATAATTTATGATTTCATGTTTCAAGTTTTATCATATCCAGAATGTTTACTAGACTCTTGTTCGTACAGATTTCAGTGAGTTATTCCTAAAAATTACAGCCTACAATAAAAAAACTACATATTTCCATGCAAAAAAATGGTACCGCTTTCAGCACAAAAAAAAATCCGAAAATCATACTGCCGAGGAGGTTAAGGTTTGGTGGCTAACATTTGGCAACTCGAACTTTCAGCTCCCTCCACAGATTTTCAATCGGATTAAGGTCTGGAGACTGGCTAGGCCATTCCAGGACCTTAATGTGCTTCTTCTTAAGCCACTCCTTTGTTGCCTTGGCCGTATGTTTTGGGTCATTGTCATGCTGGAACACTCACCCACGACCCAATTTTCAATGCCCTGGCTGAGGGAAGAAGGTTCTCACCCAAGATTGGATGGTACATTGCTCCGTCCATCATCCCTTTGATGCGATGCAGTTGTCCTGTCCCCTTAGCAGAAAAACACCCCCAAAGCAGAATGTTTCTACCACCATGTTTGACAGTTGGGATGGTGTTCTTGGGGTCATAGGCAGCGCATTCCTCCTCCTCCAAACAGTTAATGCCAAAGAGCTCGATTTTGGTCTCATATGACCACAACACTTTCAACCAGTCCTCCTCTGCATCATTCAGATGTTCAGTGGCAAACTTCAGACGGGTCTGGACATGTGCTTTCTTGAGCAGAGGGGCACTGCTGGAGATAATGGACGATCCTCACGTGTAGTTCTGGGATGATTCCTCACTGTTCTCATGATCATTGACACTCCACGAGGTGAGATCTTGCATGGTGCACCAGATCTAGGGAGACTGATGGTTGTTTTGTGTTTCTTCCATTTGCGAATGTTGTCACACTTCTCATCAAGTTGCTGCGGGAGATTTTGGTAGCCCATTGCACCAACTGTTGTCACCTTCTCATCAAGTTGCTGGGAGATAGTTTGGTAGCCCAGTCCAGCCTTGTGTAGGTCTACAATATTGTCCCTGACATCCTTGTACAGCTCTTTGGTCTTTGCCATGGTGAAGAGTTTGGAATCTGATTGCTTGCTCCTGTGGACAGGTGTCTTTTATACAGGTAACAAAACGAGATTAGCAGCACTCACTTTAAGAGACAGCTTCTAATCTCAGTTTGTTACCTGTATGAAAGACACCTGGTAGCCAGAAATCCTGCTGAATGATAGGGGATCAAATACTTATTTCCTTCATGAACATGCAAATCAGTGCATAATTTGTTAGACATGCATTTCTTGAACTTGTTGAACTAGGCCCAGCCTGGATTTACACCAGTACTTACCCTAGCTGATATGCTCACAACTGCTAGAATTACTGTGTTTTGCAGGTAGTTTTCCATTAAATGGTTTACAACTTTGCTTCCGGCTTAGGAGAATTATATTTTATTTGTATAGCTGAAATCCATGTCCTGTTTCTGCCAGCTATAATTAGTTCACAGTGTAACATCAACAAGCTAAGCTCTTTAGAAAGCTACCTGTAGACATAAAAGTCTTCAAGATACTTCTTCCCTACTAATAAACTTACCTTGCTCCTCTTCAGCCTTAGTCTGCCTCCATATGCGCAAAGTTTTATCATCGCTGCAGGTTGCCAGCTTCTCTCCGCTCTGATCAAAAGCCAAGCTCCAAACTGTAGACGTGTGACCCTCCAAGGTGGCACAACACACCCAGTCATCCTCCTCCTCTCGATACAACTTAACGGAGTCATCATAGCTGGCAGAAGCTAGAAGCTGAGGACGACATGGACAAATGAGATGCCTGCTTTAATTTTGTATAATCTGCACACACATATTGCTAGAACACTTTATTTTTTGCACTCTATGGTATGCTATGGGAAATACAATATTTTAGCTAGGGATTCACTGAAATGTTTCGGCTGAAAACACCCCTTTTGGCCGTTGGCCGAAATGAAGAAGAAAAAAAAAAAAAAAAAAAAAAAAAAGCACCAATACAGGTGCCGAAAAAACCCCGCCACCGCCCACCCACCACTCTGTAGTTCTCAGCCTTACCTGAAAAACCATCGATCCCGGTGCTGGGCATAGAGATGATTGAAGTAAAGATGGCCACCACTCATCTCTATGCCTAGGATCGGAGCGATGTCATTTCCCGTTCCGGACATTTTTTTTTTTTTTTTTTTTAAAGCACTAGATCAATACTTTACATTGTAGAGGAGAGATGTGGGGTCTTATTCACCCCATATCTCTCCATAAAGAGGACTTGTCACTAATAATTTCTATCACAAGGGATGCATGCATTGCTTGTGATAAGAATAAAAGTGATTACAATTTTTTTTAAAGGGACAGTGCAAAAAACAAAAAAACATTAAATACATTTTTTTAAAAGTTTAACCACTAACCTACAGGGCACTTATACCCCCTTCCTGTCCAGGCCAATTTCCAGCTCTCAGCGCTGTCACACTTTGAATGACAATTGCACGGTCAAACACTGTTCCCATATGAAATTTTTATAATTTTTTTGTGACAGATAGAGCTTTATTTTGGTGGTATTTAATCACCTCTGGGTTTTTTATTTTTTCTTAAACCAAAAACCACTGAAAATTTTGAAAAAAAAAAAAATTATTTTCTTAGTTTTTGTTATAAAATTTTTAAATAAGTGATTTGTCTCCTTCACTGATGTGCGCAAATGAGCCTGCAGTGATGGGCACTGATAGGCTGCACTGATAGGTGGCACTGATAGGGCATTGACAGGCATCACTGATGGGCACTGAAAGGCATCACTGATACATGGCACTGATATATGGCAATGACTGGCACTCATGGCGGCATGATGGCACTGCTATGTGGCAATGATGTGCACTGGTAGGCACGAGGCACTGATGAGCACTGACAGGTGGTATTGCTGGGGCTACACTGATCATCAGTGCCCTGATGATCAGTGTACATGTCCCCTCCGCGGAATGCCGATTACCAGCTCAGCTCTCCTCTCCTCTCGAGCTGTCAGCTGACAGCTCGAGAGGAGAGAAATGCCGATAACCGGCATTTCCCTGTTTACATGTGATCAGCTGTGATTGGACACAGCTGATCACATGACCGAGCCGACATCTTCGGCTCTTTCCGTGATCGGTGATCCGCTGTGTCCGAGGGACACAGCACACCGCCGATCGTCACACTGCGCGCTCCCTGAGCCGCGCATGCACAGTGAGAATGGGAGGACGTCATAGGACATCCTCCCAGAATGAGAGAACCACCTTGTGCCCGTCATATTACTATATGGAGAGCGTGAGGTGGTTAAAGTGCCCTCGTCCTCGCACGTAGTGGTGAAAGCATACGTAGGCCATGCCCACTTATGTAAAATAGTGTTCAAACCACACACGTGAGGTATCGCCATGAACGTTAGAGCAACAATTCTCGCACTAGACCTCCTCTGTAACTTTACACTGCTAACCTGTAGAATTGTTTAAAGCATCACCCATGGAGATTTTTAAGTACCGCAGTTTCATGCCATTTCACGAGCGTGTTCAATTTTGAAGCGTGACATGTTGGATATCTATTTACTTGCCGTAACATCTGCTTTCATATTTTAGAAAAAAATTGGGATATAAAAAAAAAAATATATATTCATTTTTAAAAACCGCGCATTTTCGTTTTCGGCACCAGAATTTTCATTTCGGTGCACCTCTAATTTTAGCACTTTTTTTCTATGAGAAACCCAACAGTAATGCAACCTTTACTGATGTCAAAATTACTTAGCCCACCTGGGACTATATAAAAATAAGATAAATTGATTGAGAATGCCCAAAAGGACCCCAGAATTCAGCAGCTGAGGACAAATGGACCTCAGCCTTAGTAGCACAAAAATTAAATGGCTGTAGTGAATGACAAACTATCATCCTTTAAGAGTGCCAGCATTCAGCCAAAAGCACAACGCACCCAGAATAATTTTAGCCGAGCGCTGCCAATTCCCAACCATGATTCACAGTAAATTAGGAATATGAAAACACAAATCTAGAAGGGATCCCAAATGACTTCCTTGTCTCAGTTATGGCCTTAAGGCATTCTGCTCTCTACAGTGTAGAAAACAGGCTGCAGATATAGGTTTCAACAAAGCAATGTTCACACCTGCCAGCGTTTGTGATGACAACTCTCAAAAACAGGATATTTATACTCTAGGACAGGGGTAGGCAACCTTAAAGAGGTGGAGATTTACCTGAACAACATGGGAGAAGTAAAAGATCACCTGGCACAGTGTCGCCTCCTCAATTCTGATGTCGCAATCACGCTCATTCCGCGGCAATCATGGCTTTAAATCAGGTGGTGAAGAGGGAACATATCGCCTCCTCACCACCTGTCAAACACTCACATCTCTTTTCAGAGAAGCAGCAGTGTCTGCTGAACTTGTGAATGAGCCATTCGTTTCATCCCGCGGCGGCACACTTAGGACTTGTTCACATGTAAAGTTGGGGGGTGGGAAAAACCTGCAGTTGAGTGGCAGTTTTACCGTCCCCAATCCCTAACCACTTTAGCTGCTGAGGCAGCAGCCAAAAGGTGTACACATGCTGCACCAGGAAATAAACTCCCTGTTGCTTTTGGTGGGTGCTACTGTCTGCCAATCGCAACCCATTTAAGTAAATGGGGACACTCTGCAAGCATCTGTGGGGTTCAAGGGGTTAAATCTGGTGGTGGGAAGCAGTACAACACTGCCTGCTTTAACCCCTTGTTTGCTGTACTGCACAAGGTTTCAAGACACTTGCAGAGCAGCTTCATTCACTTGAATGGGTCAAGCTTGACAGGTGCTACACCCACCAACCATGACAGGATGTATAAATCCTGCTGCAGCTGTGACACATGTACACCCTTGGTCACTGTAGCTAAAGGGGGTGCGGTTAGGGTGGGATGGTAAAAACATGTTGTTTTAACCAACACCCCCCCCCCATAAAAAAAAGCAAATGTAAATGAACCCTTACTGTTTCCTAAAAGACTGCTTTTACACTGATGTGCTGTGGTTTACCATGCAGAGCAGTGCATCTGCAACTTTCCTGGTTTAGCAGCACTTTGCTATAAACTTTTATTATATCCTGCAGGTATGGTGCACTTTCTGAAAGTGCACCAAACCCGCAGGATAGAGTAGAAGCCTATGGCAAAGTGCAGCTAACCTGCAGGAAAGCAGCACGCATACCACCCGTGGTGTGGGTAAACCACAGCACATCGATGTGGAAGCAGTCCTATACTATTATGCACAGTGTATTGCTTCACATTGACCTGAAGATCTCTTCTTTTCTGCTGCTGGCAACACTTTGTAGACCGTTAGCAAGGATAAGAAGGTGGAGTGCAGTTGGTATCACTCCACATGGGACAAGAGCCAGCACTACAGAGGGGGTATTGGCTTATGCAGCTCTTGCTCCCCACTACAGCTTCAATTTTACAAGTAGTCCCTCTGCATTGCACTCTGTTGCTCTGGGATGGCGGGGTCAGCAAGGCCAGTCCGTGATCTACAAGTCACCTGGCTGCAATCTACAGGTTGCGGACCTCTGCTCTAGGCTTTGTTTTTCACTCACCTCCTGATGGGGGTGCCATACCACATGCTTTACATCTTGTGTATGTGAATTAAGAACACTGACACACTCATATTCCTCTTCTTCATCCACTAGAATAAACACAAATAAAAGTTTAACTCCAACATACAGTTTAAAACTCATCTGAACATTTAGAGATATAAATGTATATAAATATAAATAAAACCCTTTCATGATGGAGGGTATAAAAAAGTGTTAATGCTTGAACACACAGTTTTACAACTTTGACATGTGTTAGTAAAACTGTACATATCATCACAACTACTTAGTGTGTCCAGGTGAATTATACCGTACTGTACAAAAGTTATAGGCAGGTGTGAAAAAAATGGAGTAAATAAAGAATGCTTTCAGAAATAGAAGTGTTAGTTTATTTTTAGCAATTTACAAAATGTAAAGTAAATGAACAGAAAAGAACTCCAAATCAAATCAATATTTGGTGTGACCACCCTCTATCTTCAAAACAGGATCAATTCTTCAATTCTCTTCTAAGTGCACTTGCACACAGTTTCTAAAGGAACTCGGCAGGTAGGTTGTTCTAAACATCTTGGATAACTAACCACAGATCTGTGGGTGGAGGCTGCCTCAAATCTTTTTGTCTCTTCATGTAATCCCAGACAGACTCCATGATGTTGAGGACTAAACTGTGGGGAATAAACCATCACTTCCTGGACTCCTTGTTCTTCTTTACACTAAAGATAGTTCTTAATGACATTGGCTGTATATTTGGGGTCGTTGTCCTAGTGCAGAATAAATCTGGGGCCAATCACACACCTCCCTGATGGTATGGTATGATGTATGGATATCTGTCTGTATTTCTCAGCATTGAGCACACTATTGATCCTGACCAAATCTCCAACTCCAATTGCAGAAATGCAGCCCCAAACCTGCAAGGAACCTCCACCATACTTCAATGTTACCTGCGTTGTACCGCTCTCCAGTGAACAAACTGCCTCCAGTTACAACCAAGTATTTCAAATTTTGACTGAGCAGACAGAGCACCAGCTGCCATTTTTCTGCACCCCAGTCCCTATGTTTTCATGCATAGTTGAGTTACTTAGCCTTGTTTCCATGTCAGAGGTATGGCTTTTTGGCTGCAATTCTTCTGTGAAGACCACTTCTGGCCAGACTTCACCGAACAGTAGACAGGTGTACCTTGAGTCCTACTGTTTCCACCAGTTCTGTGCTAATGGTACAGCTGGACATCTTCCGATTTTGAAGGGAAGTAGGCATGATGTGTCTTTCACCTGCTGCAGTAGCCTCCCTGGCGGTATTCCCGAGTGTAGCTCAGGGAAAATTTTAAGTGCCACAAGCGGTAACCCCGAGCTACACTCGGGAATACCATGCGGCACTGCTCCGGGATCCCTCGATCACTTACCTTGTCCTGCGATGTCCCTCCTGCAGTGTCCCCTGTAATCTCCTCCGGCGGATGCCGGCATCTGTCTTCTGGCCGTCCCCTGCAACATCAAGATGTACGGAGACAGAACGGCGGGAAATTTGAAAATGACAAAAAGTGACATTCACTAAAATAACATAGTAAAACATTATTGTATCAAACCATTTCACATACATTTTGTCCCTAGTGCTTTGTCCTGTGCGCTGCCTACATTTTTACTGTTCTTTCTGCCTGGAAACTGAGAAACGTCCATGGCGTCCAAAAAGTGTCCCTTTAGGTCAAAATCGTTTAGACCAGCTAGAGAACAGCGATAGTAAATTAAAACTACTTGCAGAATTTAGTGATAATGATTCGTGGGGAAATTCATCATCAGACACTGAAAACGATTTTGCGACTTTGCTCAGTGATGTGCGAACTTGGCGCTATATTTCAAATTTCAGTGTTTTGGTTTGATTATATTATTGAATTAAATTATCATATTTTTTATGATTATTTATTAAATTATAATTTATGATTTCGTGTTTCAAATTGTAACATACCCGGGATGTTTACTAGACTCTTGTTCGGACAGATTTCAGTGAGTTGTTCCTAAAAATTACAGACCTACAATAAAAAAAATACATATTTCCATGCAAAAAAATGTACCGCTTTGAGCACAGAAATATGGACATAATCAGACCGCTAGGGAGGTTAAGTTACCTTGGTTGAACACTGCGTCTATGGTCCTCAACATTTCCAGTTTCTTTATGCTTATTCAAAAGCGTTTGATGAATTGAATTGTAGCTGGTTTGAAGCCAAATGGTAGTCACACCAAATATTGATTTGATTTAGATTTTTCTTCTGTTCGCATTTTATAAATGGTAAAAATGAACAGTATATATTTTTGAAAGCATTCTTACTCTACAGCAGGTCTTCACACCTGCCTTTTATTTTTGCACAGTACCTTGTTTTTTTTGTTTTTTTTTTAGGCTTTCCTTTGGTGGTAAAGTGTAATTGCCATCTCCTGATTTTTTATTACCAAAAAGGAAAACTGGCACAAAAAAAAAAAAAAAAAACGATACCCAAAAAAACCTTTAGCTTAGCTGTATATTTATTGCTATTACCATAACCTACCTCCAAAGAACAAGCAGAAATAAATTCTGCTTCTGACAGTTGCAGCAATACCACATATTTGTATGTTGTATGTACCCGTACTAGGTCCCAGAAACAATTAGCACATTTTGCTTTTTTTTTTTATCCTACATAAAATATACTGACGCTGACCTCTGACTCTCTTCACACTAGTGCAATTTCAGATGTGACTTGTGCTGCACAGAATTGCATGACAATTGAAATCAGTTTTCAACAGTGCCCAATCAAATCAATGCAACTCAGCACAGGGCAATTTTGCAAAAGGTTCTTGTACTACTTTGGTTTGATTTCAGCATGATTTTGGACCCATAGAATATGCAAATCACATTCAAGTTTTACTATATAAATCGCACTAAAAATCAGATTGCAGCATTGTGAACCTAGCTGAAGACTCTTTAACACTTACCAAGCTATATTTCTCTCCCCCCCCCCCCCCCCCTTTTTATTTTTCCACACACTTTTCTTTGTTTACACTTTTTCTTCTAGCAAGGAGAAAAAGCTAAAATGCATCTTCTCCTCCATTCAACACAGCAGCGTACTCTCAGCTCAAACACGGTGGCATATACATGTGGCCCCATGGATAAAAGACACACTTCTGTGAGGCTTGCATATATACTCGCTGGGAAGGTGTTAAACGGTAACTGTGACTTCCATTTGCAAATATACTTTTTGCAATTTGGTAACAGATACACTTTCCAATGATTCCAATCTTCCTATATCCCCAGTGAAGTCCACTGACTCTGGAGTGATTGCACTCCAAGGAAGTGAAATTGAAATTGCAGTATATCCATTTACAGCACGCTGCATATACTGCTTAAAGAACACAGAGTATACACAGAAAGGAATATATACAACACATAGCACATGTGCCACACCCAGTACAAGAAAGTGCAAACAATATACAGCACAGGATCTGAATACCTTACATATACCACAAATAGAATACACAGAACAGAGGGTGTATGGTATACACAACAGTTCAACTGTGCACTTTTCACACCCCCCAATTACAAATCTAAACAAGCCCCTACCTGGTATGTTACAGTAAAATAGTTTCAATTTAATAAGTGTCAATGAATATGTGGGCCATAAATACAGTCCTTCGGAACATAATTACATTTAGTCCTGATAAATGTGGCTGCAAAAAAAAAAAATGCCAGGTACACAGTTCCTTCAAACTATGCGAATGACTACAAAAATACAGACTACCTCTTAATGTTCAGCAATGCGTACACTAAACTACGGGTCAAATGGTCAGACTCACCTTCCCATACCCATACACTCTTGTCCCGGCTGCATGTGGCCAGAAGATTTCCTGAAGGTGCCCAGGCCACAGATTTTACCTCATTTTCATGCCCCTCAAGTGTTGTAACAACCTAGAATGGGTAAAGTAAGGAATATTTAAACCTGACCACACTTCTTTTAATCATTTACTTATGGTCCCCTTTATTTAACCTCAACATTTGCCTACCTCAAACTCCTCTTTTTTCTTCATCCAGATGCAGGTGGTGGCATCAAAGCTGGCAGAAGCAAGGTAGTTACCACAAGGTGACCATGACACTTTTCTTACAGTCCGCTGGTGGCCATCACCAAGGACTGACTTGCATACCCAGGTACCATCTGCACAACAAAGATCAAAATGATTTGTGTAGAAAAAAAAAAAAAAACACACAAATAAAAGCAGTTGCAGTCTGGATAGGCAAGTGGTGTTTATTATATGTATTTTTTCGTTTGTCTGTATTTAAAAAAAAAAACAAAAAAGTTCCTATAAAAATGGACTTGGAAACTTGAGGAACTGTACTCTAGCTGTGCCCTCCAAAAAAAAAAAAAAAAAGACAGGCAGAGGGAAAGGGACCATCATTGCCTGTGGCCTTTACCCCATTATTGATTTACTATGCCTTTTTCTACACTGAGTCCTGTGTTGAGTCCTCAATCTTGGTGAAGACAGGGCTTTGCTTCCTCACATCAGCCTCCAGCAAACAGAACAGTGCGGAGTGCAGTAATAAAATCACTATATCACACTCCAAATGCCCTCAGACCGGCAGTCAGAGACCACAGTTACCTATATTTACACGGGGGGTATACAACTATGAGGCTCTAGACCAAGGGTCTCCAAACTTCCTAAACAAAGGGCCAGTTTGCTGTCCTTCAGACTTTAGGGGGGCCAGACTATAGCCACTAAGAGCAGAAAAAGCCCAGACATCAGTGGGAGAGTAGACCATGTCTCAGGCTTGGTGGTCAGTGGGAGAAAAATTACATAATTCCCGTGGTTAGTAGGAGGAGGAACAGTGTCCCATCACTGGTATTAGAAGAAGGAATTATGACTCATCATTGGTGTTAGTGAAAGGAATAGTGCCCCATCATTGGTTTCTGCAGAAGCAATAGTGCCCCAATGTTGGTGTCAGTGGGAGGAGTAGTGCTTCATTGCTGGTCATAGTGGAAAGATTAGTGCCCCATATCAGTGGGAGGAACAGTGCCCCAAAGGCTAGATAAATGTAAGCAAAGGACCACAGCTGGCCCATGGGCCAGTTTACAGGCAACTTCTCTGGACACTCTGACATACCAGGAAGTGCTATTTTTCAGGAGTTAAAGAAAAAAAAAAAAAGTAAGTTTTTCTGGATACTGCTTAGGCACTAACACTTCTAGATGTTGCCTATAACATAGCAAGTCTTCACTTTTTGAGTTCAAATCCACTCTAAGACTAACTTTCTTAAATTGGACCGTCACACTCTCAACCAGCTTTCTATTTTTTCTCCTTCGGCCTCCCTTCATACAATCCCATTGCTTTTATTTACTCTGCGGCACAACAGGGAGCCAACTGTCGCTTCCTTGTTCTTGCAGCTGACCCCTCACCAAGGTCATAATGGGAACAGCGCCAAGAAACAGGAACAACCATAAAGCGACAGTCATCTCCCTGTGCATTTAAAAACTCTTAAAAGTTAAAAAAAAGAAAAAAAACAAAAACAAAACCCACAACTATAAGAGGAGTAGAATCTAATGGATCTTAAGATTTAAAACTATATTTTTCTAGCTTAATGAACGATTAAAATGCTCAGTAGTTATTGTTTGCTGTTTTTGGACCGTTGAGGAGATTTCCCTTCATTTCTGTTCTGAAGATGCAAGAAAAATGAGCGGAAATCTGCATAATGTAAAGGGTATTCCAATATGAGATAAAGTTGTTACCAGAACATTTTCCCGAATTGAAAGATTTACCTGACCTCTTGTTTTCCTGATGACTGTAATAAATGTATTTCCCCCTCACTTTCTATCATGGGTACAATGGTTATCAGGACAAATAGGGGGTGAACCTCCTCAGTGGGGACACAAACAGCAAGAGAATATTGCTAATCTAATGGATTTTCGTGCACATGAACACAATATAATACACATAAAATATAGAAGTTAGGGTTGCATAAAGTAAATAGATACCAAACCATGTAAAATTGCAAGCAAGAAATGACAGAAAACTATGGTAGTGAAAACTGTCCATAAGCGACGCTTCAAAAGGTCATCAGCTTAACATTAACAGTGAAAGATGGCCCTAGAATTTATGCTCTCAACCCCATTGTTCACAGCATTATCCAACATGTGTGGCACAACTGTTTACATACACGCATGTGCCCTACGTGCATTCAGGTGTTTGCGCACACACACACCTTTTAGAGAATAGTTTTTTTCTTTTTTATAAGAATTTACATTTGAACATATTTCAATTTAACTTTATTGCTATCACAAGGGGACCAACAAGGGAGGCTGCATATCCAACCAATAAAAAACTAAAAAAAAAAAAAAAAATGTTTTCTCCTTTCTTCATTCCCACACCCCCGTAATCACTTTATCTGCCTAGACCAGCAGAACCTTCTTCTGACCTCATAAATTCCAGCCATGGGGGAGATAGAAACGTAATTTCCATCATATCTATAGAAGATTAATTCTTGCTTTCTCATAATTTCATATCACACCATTCTCCCAACGAGGGAATATTCGTGTTTCAATGTTGTTTAGGCCTGGTTGTTCTTGCTGCACATAAAAATATAGTATAGATTTTTTTAGCTTTTTAAATTCAATCGGATGTAATTAGAAAAAAACCAATTTGTGAATCAATTTAATTTATTCTTCTGTTATATTATTGTGTAATTGAAAGACCTTTCCCCAAAATTGACATATCTTTTCACAATCCTACCATAGATGGGCCAGTGTGACTAACTTCTTTTAACATCTTTAACATTTATCTGATCTATTTGGAAACATTTTATGTAAAGATGAAGTGACCTCTACCATGTTGTCATTAAGTTAAAATTCCTTTCTCAACTATAAAATGAACAAGGCCACAGCTGTTCTCCAGCTGATAAGGCAATACCGCTTCATGTCTTTTTGCAGCTGACAAGACTAGAAAATGTTTTCAATAATAGGTGCATTTTAACTCTTTCGCTGCCAGGTCCATATGACATATGGACCTGACAGTAGCGGGGGTATACACACACTCCTGGTGGTTTCAGTCACTAGGATGGTGTGTACATCTGACAAGCAGACTTCTGCCTGTCAGAAACATTTGGGCAGTTGTGCTGCCGCCCGATTGCTTCCACACACCTGTGCACCCCTGCCATGTATTGCGAGATCCACTTGCTTATCTGCAGGCCCGGGAACAACATTGCAGGGGCAAGAGTAGAGCAGACATTACATTTTTTTTTTTTTTTTTTTAACTTGTAAACAATTACAGTTACACCCAACCCCACATGTAAACGCCCGTGTTGGGGGCGCCTACGCATGAAAACGTCAATTGTGATAAATAGGTTACATATCACCGCGCATGCCAGAGTGAGAGCAATATTTCTAGCACCAGACCTCCTCCATAACGCCAAAGGGGCTTTTAAAGCATCTCCGATGGAAAACATAGGGTACTGAACTTTGTTGCCATTTCATAAGCGTTTGCAAATTTAAAGTTTGACCTGTTGTGTATATATTTAACTGCTACAACCTCCTCTTATATTTTACCAGAAATTTGTGTGTCCTAAAATTAACTTTAGTGTATATTTTACTAAAATTTTGCATTTCCTAGTATTTTGTGCTATTTATTGCATGACATAAAAAAATGCAACTACTACTATTTTATTCTATAGGGTGTCTGCTTTCACAAAATATATAATATTCTGAGCATCTCAAGGCCTAAAATGATTTTTTTAAATGTGTGCAAAAAATACAAATCCGGCTCAGGCGGTGAAAAGATTAAAACACAGTGCACATATTTTTTTTAACATAACAGAGATGGTTTCCCCCTAAAAAAAAAAAAAAAATATATATATACTTCCACTGCTCACAGATGAATCAAATAACTTCACCTTCTTTGCCCCAGATCCGAATAATTTTTATCCCCACCACAGGAAGCCAGAAGAGTTCCAGATGGATTCCATGCTAGGAACCAGCAACGGGAGTCAGGGTGGGCAGTAACTCGAGTTAGCAGGGTCAGTGTGTCCTTCATCCTAAATCACACCTGTGAAAGGAAAGGTGAAGCTGTACATCACATAAATAATATTTTTTACCTCTATAAAATAATATGTATTACTATATTATACTATATCCTTAATACACTTTGTTTCATTTTTATGCTTTTGCAAACTACAGGTGCATTTGCCAATATAGTATAAAAATCTGAAATATGTTGGTGCCCGGAAGGTAAAGGTGGTCCATACATTCCACTGCCAGCTACATATCAAAATATATTACAGGCTATAACATGCTTTGGACTTACACAGCTGTACATTGTATGCACACCCCATGTATGCCATGACGGGGACATTCTGCATTTGGGACATAGGAGCCTATATGCGAGTACCTCTCAGATGCGTATGGCCAAGGCAAAATTCAGCCTTTCATTAATTTTGACTGGTTGCTAGCAGCAAGATGTGCGCAACACTGTGCCATCCGGGTTTTTACACAATGCAGGTAAATGCGCCCCTGTGCATAAGACTCAAAGGTGCCTGTGCATAGCAGTAATTGTATGCCTCTCATTTATCCCCTTTCATATCAGGTCTCTCCTCCTTGTCCATACTCACCCTCCACTCTGTCAACACTCCCCCATCAAAACTCGCTCTCTACTTTACCTACAATCACACATCAATACTGACCGTCCACTCTGCCTACAATTCACATCCATACTCGCCCTCCACTCAGCATGGACAGGGGGCATAAGCAGACAATGCACTCTGCCATCCATGGTCACCCTTCCACTCTGCCCATATTCCCCCCATCCATGCCCACACTCCCCTATCAATGCTCACCCTCCACTCTGCCAACACTCCCTGTCCATGCTCAATCCACTCTGTCCACACTCTTCTGTGCATGTTCATCCCTCCACACTGCCCACACACTCCCTACCATACTCACCCTCCACTCTCTACTCATTTCCTTCTGTCCATCCTCACCTTCCACTCACATCTCTGTCCATACTTACACTGTGCTTTGCCAAAACCCACTCATCAATTTTCTCACTCCACTCTCTTCACACCCCCACAATCAAGACACCCTCCACTCTTTCTACACTCCCCTTCTATACTCTCCCTCCACTCTGCCCACACTCTCCTTCCAATCTACCCACATTTACAACATTATCCATACCAACCTTCCACTCTGCCTACCCTCTGCCCCACACTTCTCTTTCTATACTCACCCTCCAGTACCAACACAACATTATTCATAATCCTTTGCTACTCTGCCTACTGTACATTCCCCACATCCATAACCACACCCTCCTCTATGCCTACACTGCCCTGTCCATACCCATCCTCATCCTTCTCTCTGCCCACACCCCTCCGTTCATCCTTGCCTTCCACTTGGCCACAGTCTTCATCCTTACTCACCCTGCCCACACTCCCCTAATATACACTCACCTTCTACTCTGTCCACACTCCCCTATATATATATATATATAGATATATATATACATATATATATATATATACACATACTCACCCTCCACTCTGCTCACACTCCCCTATATACGCTCACCCTCTACTCTGCCCACACTCCCCTATATATACACACTCACCCTCCACTCTGCCCACACTCCCCTATATATACGCTCACCCTCCACTCTGCCCACACTCCCCTATATATACGCTCACCTTCCACTCTGCCCATACTCCCCCTATATATACACTCATCCTCCACTCTGCCCACACTCCCCTATATATACTCACCTTCTACTCTGCCCACACTTTCCTATATATACTCACCCTCCACTCTGCCCACACTTACCTATATACACTAACCTTCTACTCTGCCCTCACTCCCCCATATATACACTCCCCTATATATACTCACCCTGCACTCTGCCCACACTCCCCTATATATACTCACCCTGCACTCTGCCCACACTCCCCCATATATACTCACCTTCTACTCTGCCCACACTCCCCCATATATACACTCACTCTCCACTCTGCCCACACTCCCCCATATATACACTCACCCTCCACTCTGCCCACACTCCCCCATATACACACTCACCCTCCACTCTGCCCACACTCCCCTATATACGCTCACCCTCCACTCTGCCCACACTCCCCTATATATACTCACCTTCTACTCTGCCATCACTCCCCCCATATATACACTCACCCTCCACTCTGCCCACACTCCCCTATATACACTCACCTTCTACTCTGCCCACACTCCCCTATATATACTCACCCTGCACTCTGCCCACACTCCCCTATATATACTCACCTTCTACTCTGCCCACACACTCCCCCCATATATACACTCACTCTCCACTCTGCCCACACTCCCCCATATATACACTCACCCTCCACTCTGCCCACACTCCCCCATATACACACTCACCCTCCACTCTGCCCACACACTCCCCTATATACGCTCACCCTCCACTCTGCCCACACTCCCCTATATATACTCACCTTCTACTCTGCCATCACTCCCCCATATATACACACACCCTCCACTCTGCCCACACTCCCCTATATACACTCACCTTCTACTCTGCCCACACTCCCCTATATATACTCACCTTCTACTCTGCCCACACTTCCCTATATTTACTCACCCTCCACTCTGCCCACACTCCCCTATATATACACACTCATCCTCCACTCTGCCCACACTCCCCTATATATACTCACCTTCTACTCTGCCATCACTCCCCCATATATACACTCACCCTCCACTCTGCCCACACTCCCCTATATACACTCACCTTCTACTCTGCCCACACTCCCCTATATATACTCACCTTCTACTCTGCCCACACTTCCCTATATTTACTCACCCTCCACTCTGCCCACACTCCCCTATATATACACACTCACCCTCCACTCTGCCCACACTCCCCTATATATACGCTCACCCTCCACTCTGCCCACACTCCCCTATATATACGCTCACACCTTCCACTCTGCCCATACTCCCCTATATATACACTCATCCTCCACTCTGCCCACACTCCCCGATATATACTCACCTTCTACTCTGCCCACACTTTCCTATATATACTCACCCTCCACTCTGCCCACACTTACCTATATACACTAACCTTCTACTCTGCCCTCACTCCCCTATATATACACTCCCCTATATATACTCACCCTGCACTCTGCCCACACTCCCCTATATATACTCACCCTGCACTCTGCCCACACTCCCCTATATATACTCACCTTCTACTCTGCCCACACTCCCCCATATATACACTCACTCTCCACTCTGCCCACACACTCCCCATATATACACTCACCCTCCACTCTGCCCACACTCCCCTATATACGCTCACCTTCTACTCTGTCCACACTCCCCTATACATACGCTCATCCTCCACTCTGCCCACACTCCCCTATACATACGCTCACCCTCCACTCTGCCCACACTCCCCTATATACGCTCACCTTCTACTCTGTCCACACTCCCCTATATATATACACTCACCTTCTACTCTGCCCACACTCCCCTATATACACTCACCCTCCACTCTGCCCACACTTACCTATATACACTAACCTTCTACTCTGCCCTCACTCCCCTATATATACTCACCCTGCACTCTGCCCACACTCCCCTATATATACTCACCTTCTACTCTGCCCACACTCCCCCATATATACACTCACCCTCCACTCTGCCCACACTCCCCCATATACACACTCACCCTCCACTCTGCCCACACTCCCCTATATACGCTCACCCTCCACTCTGCCCACACTCCCCTATATACACTCACCTTCCACTCTGCCCATACTCCCCTATATATACACTCACCCTCCACTCTGCCCACACTCCCCTATATATACTCACCTTCTACTCTGCCATCACTCCCCCATACATACACTCACCCTCCACTCTGCCCACACTCCCCTATATATACTCACCTTCTACTCTGCCCACACTTCCCTATATTTACTCACCCTCCACTCTGCCCACACTCCCCTATATATACACACTCACCCTCCACTCTGCCCACACTCCCCCGTCTATCTATACTCACCTTCTACTCTGCCCACACTCCCCTATATACACTCCCCCGTCTATCTATACTCACCCTCCACTCAGACCTCTCCTCACGTTGCCCCTCTTACACTTCCTGACTCAGGAACAGTTCCTGACTTTAGACACCTCCCTCTGCTGGTCAATAGGAGAACTACGGCATTACGCCAGTCTCTTCCTCCAGCTACTAGAGGCCGCAGAATACAGGCGATCATTGTTCACTCAGCCAGCCATTTTTGATAAGATAAAACTTGTAATAGTGACTTCTGACGGACCTCAGAAAAATGGCCTCCACTCTGGATACAGCACATAGGGATGAGTGAGGGTTTGGAAGTTATCACAGCCTACAGACTTCGCTCTAGTAGCGGGATGCCGGTTCGGTGGGGCGGTGATGACGCGGGGAGGAGGCGGAAGTCAGCTGTACGGAGATCACAGACGGGGAGAGGAGCTCCGGGGCCCGCGGTAAGCAACACCTGGGAGGTGGGGGCAGTACAAGGAAGATGGTGGAGGTCTGTTATCGGAGGGGGGATGTGGGGGTCCCTTCTGTAGTGGGGGAGGGGTATTAAAGAGCCGCGATAAACACCAACCCGAGATGTCTGCCTGTATGTATGCCAGTCGTTTCTGCTGCCCCGAGGATCGCTCAGTGTATGGCTCCATATGGTGACAGTGCTGGTTGATGTCAGTGTATACTACATCCCTGGAGCCTCCTCAATCGTGCTGCTGCCTGATCTGTATACAGGAAGAGCTCCTCGCCTGAATACAATACACGCCCTGCCTGAACGCTTCCTGAACTCTGGATTTGATCACTGTGATATTTTACAGCAATGTTAGCACAAAAGCCAGCATTTACTATATTGCAGCTCACCAATTCTTAGATGTGATGGCTGCATTTGTTTTCTTTTTTTAGGATTGCTTCTATTTTCATCTGGTGATCTGGCTAGTAAGTCTGTTTTTCAAAAGAACAAGCTGTCCTGCAGATGTAGCAAT